TTGATTGTAGTCCTTTTGTACATAAATAATGGATAATTGTGGTGAATAGTTATATTCCCACTTTTACGAGCATCTGTGATACTACACGGATCTAAGTGTGCTAGGGCTAAACTCCTTATCGCATTAAGCCGTGATAGACTTTCATAATAACACAAAGTAGTTATTTCCAGATATTTCTAATTTTTAACACATAATTCAAAAATAAACATTCCTCGACGAATACTTTATACAATCAAGAAAAAAGTAACGTACAAATATCGCTGGAATCGGTGTGTTTCTTTAGATTACAAATGGTACGGCCCTCCCTTGAAAAAGGCTGCCTCCCAGAAAAATTGAAAACGGGATCGCTTTTGGAGTAATACAGTTGAACCCACTTTGGTACAAAATTACCTCTCATAGTATGAAAATATTTAAGGTAATGAAGCGTGTATTTACCTCGACCGCATTCAAAACTTGCACGCACTGCGCAAAAAAAGTCAACCCCCAACTACTCTTCACACTCTAATTTTTCCGTTCATTATTTTAGATTTTTCACAAAATAAAATGCCACTTTAAATACGATTTAATCGTCTTTCAAATAAGACCGTTTTGCACCGGAGAGTTTGTTTATGTCTCCGTTTCGTCAAAATGGGATCACTAAACTTATTTCCCTCCTTTCTGGTTAAATAGAATAGTCTTGAGCTAGATTTGATCGGATAACATGTTCAATAAGGACGATTTATTATTTTAAAAAAGCCCAAAAAAACCGTTCGTGTAATTTATACGTTCGCAATTTAAAAATCGCTCTTTACTTGTCACGGCGAAGTTAATAGTAATTGTACCTATTGATAACAGTTGAGTATTCGCACGCGCTGCACTCTCTTTCCTCGGAAATTTAAACACGAGAACTACGTTGTGTATTTTACTAGGCCCTACATTTCAGAACCACAAATGCTTTATAATTGATCCGCGATTCACAAAACTTGGTACAGACAATTTTATACCCTCCCAGCACGCGTTGATTGCGGCGATCTCTCTTAAAACACCGCGATCGCTATTGGGCAATCGTAAAATTTAATGGAGGACTCGAACGGTATTGCGATCGAAGTTAAACTGGAACTCGCTTTATTTCTCCCTCTTTCTGATATTCTATATGCAGCCCGCTCTCTCATCTAAGGCACTCCGGCACTCTACCACGCTTTTTTTAATCTTATTGGGGTACACCGTAGTCTGGAAGATGTGGTACGTTACATCTCCATGTCCATGTTCCTTCTCGCTTTAACCAGCAGGTTCAGCTGGCCACGACGAACAGGTCTCCGTTACGTATTGTGCGATAGACCGCTGCCACCCTCAACGATATCATTCTTTACAGCTGCTCGAGTGCATCCCTTACTTTTCCTGTACGGATCGTAATTGTGGAAGTTGGTCATCTTCTTCTACCGGCTACGAAGGCAGCTTTTGTTTTTTCCACCAACTGCTGTCTGTGTTCCTCTATTCAGTTTTGGACCGTCTGTATTGTCACCTTCGTTTTTGTTACTGCCTTCTACATCTCGCGATCTACGGGCACAGGGACCATTTCTGCCGAGACTCGTAACGGTAGCAGCGCGTCGTATGCCAGATTCCACTCAACAGGTCCTAGCACCGACCCCTGCGACACTCTCCTATTTACTACCAGTTAGGTCACGATCCTATCTAGTAGTAATCTCCTCAGGCATGTAGGTACACCTCTTCAACGAAGTAACTCTAAAAACTCTAAAACTGTAAGGTTCGTTTTCGTAATTTTACGATTTGCGCATGTGCAGTAGGCTGCTGAATGGTAATGATGTGCGAAGGGGTCTGGGGCATGCTGGCGGGCTCGGGTCTGTCCCTTGGTCAATTGGGGATACCTAGACGGAGCCCTCTGTGACGTCACGGCAGTTGGCCCGGGGCGCTTTTTTTTGTAATTGGTCCACTATGCGGGGTCATATATTGGTAATCGCCCCTCACACGTGAACACGAACGAATAAACGGCAGTACTCAGGACCGACTCCCCCCCCCCCTGACAGCTCCAGTGAAATTATCTGTGGTGTACAGACCCAAAATTTAAGGTTCAATGCTGGCCTTACTGACAGCTGCACTTCACTTTTTACAAACTTAAACCAGCACAAATTTCTTTAAAATACTCCACTTTTATGTGCAGGACATGATAAAATATAATATAAAGTCAAATAGAAGCGAGTCAAGTAAAAGCAAATAATTGATCCTTTAATGTAATTTACGTTAGCTGCTCGCAAATTTGACCAAACATAATTCAAATTACAAATAATGGACGCCTGGCGCATCATTTCGCAAGCACTAAATTTTAACTAATAATAATAAAGCGCACCGTACAGTTACGTCAGACTTTAGTCAAACCTGTCCGCGAACCATGCCGCCTCCGGCTGCATTTATGCAAGTTTCGTGAATTATAAAGAGCTACGTGCAATTATTACGAATTCAATTCAATTAATCAATAATAAATGAAAAGATGTTTTCGTAAGAAACAGCCTAGATTTTTTCTACCTTTACTTTACGAGTTTCATTCGCCGACTACCCATACGCTGAAACGTTTTCCGCCTGTATTGCTTTAGTCCGTCTGTTTTCACCTAAGTCCGATCTCATAGCACATCCTCTCGGCAAAATAATCTCCTTTATTGTAACGCCGCCGCCGCTGCTTCGGCGCCTGTTTTATACGTTCTGATGGATCCGTAGAAGGGTACATAACGAAAGGGGTTCGCAAGTCAAATCTTAATCACCCAACTTTTCTTACATACCGTCATGTAACATTCTCGGTAAATATCGAATGTATACAAAATTTGTCTATGTGAAAGTTGTTAACATTTTATTTCCCATAATAGGGTTGTTTTGGATTTTTTAAATGGCAGTGCACCTTTACATTATACATTTTCTTAATATAAGAAAATTTTTCAAAAAAACATTAATCTAGGTATCCTACATCAAAATAAAACAAATGAATGTGTACGTTTGTTATATAATAAGCTTTTGAAAAAGTTTCTTGTATGTACTAACATGTTACATCATCAAAAATTTCTATTAAATGAGCCTAATAAAAGCTGGACTGCCATTTAAAAAATTATTTTTCGTTACTCATTTGTTTTCTGAAATAAAAACAACTGAATGCTGCCTTATTATGGGAAGTAAAATGTTGAACAACTTCCATATAGAAACATTTTGTACACATTCGATATTTACCGAGATACATACTATATCCCATATAATAGACACCCTGTATATTAAGGTACTAACGAAATCGAAATTGCTAAATTTCAATTTTTCTGAAAGTAAGCAATTTCATAATTCACCACCAAATAACATTGAAACCGTGATTCTTAAACGCCTGGTGTATTTAAAGCATACAAATGAAACAAGTATAAATTGTGCACAACTCTTGTGCAGATAAAGCGCACATTTTTAAACCGAAATAGCTTTTGTTTTGACATCACCAATGGATATATTTCTTCCTGACATCTCAATCGCCCTTTATGAGTACCCTATTCCGACAATCCGTTCTTGAGGTATAAGGGAATATACCCGATCACGATAAGAGGTCGAGGAGGAGGGCTATGGTTGGTAGAAATTAATTCTTTTCGTTGAGACCTTTCATTAGAGTAACATGAAGGATAAAATAGTTCCACCCCCCTCTCCCCTCACCCACGTACTTTGATAAGAAGACAGAAGGAAGGGCAGTAGTTGGTAGAAAACGGTTCCTTTCGTTGAGACCTTTAATTATAATACAATGAGATAACATTTAATTTTAACCCCCCCGCCCCTCGTGCCTCGAGACCTTTCATTAGAATACCATGAAGCGTAGAACATGTGTCCCCCCCCCCCCCAATTTTCTAAAGTTTAACTTCGCACCACTAAAGGCATGCGTATACAAAAACTAAGACCAATTTGTTGTCGTATGTAAAAGTTACACACGTTTTACTTCAAAAACAGCATCTCAAGAAATAATTCGTGGGGGGGGGGGGGGCAGCGAAATTTGATGGTCGTCTGGCACACCTTTAAGGTATAGGCTACCTACTGCAGAAAATTCCAGGACTCTAGGACCATTCCCCTAAAAGTAGTTCGAAACGGCAGAAGTGGGTCCGGAAGGACGGACAAAACGCAATCAATAGCACATTTTTAGCGCACTTTTGAAGAAGGCATACGCATGTCTTTAGTGGTGCCAAGTTAAACTTTAGAAAATGGGGGAGGGGGGTAAACACATGTTCTACCCTTCATGGTATTCTAATGAAAAGTCCCATCGAAATAAATTGGTTTGTACAAAGTATAACTTTCCCGTGCGAGATCAGTGAGCGACGGGGCCTGAGGGGGAAGGGGGAATTTGCCTCTCATTGTATTCTAATTAAAGGTCTCAACAAAAGGAATTAATTTCTACCAACCATACCCCTACTGCTCGACCTCTTATCGTGATCGGGTATATTCCCTTATACCTTAAGGACGGATTGTCGGAATAGAGTATTCACAAAGGGCGATTGAGACGTCTGCAAGAAATATATCCATTGGTGATGTCAAAACAAAAGCTATTTCGGTTTAAAAATGTGCGCTTTATCTGCACAAGAGTTGTGCACGATTTATACTTGTTTTTAATTCTTAAAAAATGCGCTAAAAAGTAGGTAGTAAAAAAAGTAGCTCCATTGTTTATAGAAGGGTTCTATAGAATACGTTTATTATGAATCCCGCCGCCAGCATCACAATAATGTTAAAAACACAAAATTGAATGTAAACATTGCTTCTGTATGTTTATCTATTGTTTGAATCTTAAATGTCTCCTATTGCTTACACACCGAAATTAATCAACCGTAAAAATCGACATATACATTTTGGGCTTCGTGTCCACTGTATTTTTAAAGATCGCTTTTCATGTTAATTAAGCCTTTGGAAGTTTTGCCAATTTAAATGAATCTATTTTTTCTACATTTACCTATAACATCAACGGAATATATTTGTGAAGTTCAAATAAATTGCATTTTTACTAGACGCTCAACACCATATCAAGCGAGAAGAACTCAACAATTGTATTCCCACTACCTATTGACATACTGTCATACTTCATGCGTGCCAAAGAGGCGGTCTAATGAAGACTTCCCATTTCAAATGACCAACGAACCGTCTGGGAATCTAAGTTGTTTAAAATTAAAAAAAAATTGTGGCCAATCGAGCACCGATTTTAAATGTTTATACACATCTGCGCACTAACGGAATATTAAATTATAGACACGTATAACCACTTTACGAAATCAATATGTATATAGTAAGTATACAGCAGTATCACTACAAATATTGATTTTTTTTGTTTTCCTCCTACTAATATTGTCTCGTGTCTTTCTAATGCGATACTGATGTATATTTTATTGAATTTCGTGATACTTTTAAGAGATTTTTGTATTCTTGTACCTAAGTAGTTCAAAAGTAATTCGCATGAATAGAATGGGAGATAAGCTGAAAAGTGCGTTGGAATTCATGATTCGGTAAAGTTTTCCAATAAACTTTTTTATCGTCAATTAGTTTATTTTTTTTAATTTTGTACTTCTATTTTACTTTATGCTGTGTTATTTTGTTTTACTTATTTATTTTATTTGCTTTTCTGTTGCCGAATGATCAATTCCATTCACTTATCTCTGTTTTGCTCAAGAACGGCAACTTTTACATTTTGTGTAGTTAATAAATTTAATATATAACTTTAAGAAAGATATTTGTATTTGATAATCACTATAGGTGTAGTAATGAATTTTTAAATGTAATATTACCAAAATTGTGTGAGTGTGCCTGTTGGAAGCATTTCCACAAATACCATTCAAATGGTCTTATCTACCCTATTTTTAAATAAATAGGCTGTGCATTAAATAAATGACCGTCAAATATACTGTGTTAAATAATCAAACGTTTAGGATTTAGTCTAAATGTCAAAAATCGTTTTTAGGAGAATTGCTCGAACAAAATTTGTGAAACGAAATTTCTTGAGTACATTAACCTTCAACCGTCCTACAATTTGAGAAGATAAAACAAAAGGGGGTAGTTTTGAAAGTAATGTATTCGAAAATTTTATTTCACAATCTGTCCCCAAAGACAATTTTTTTTCCACAGTACACCTTGCTCAAATACTTGTATGTTTACACCAACTAGGGGCACATCATAAGGGTTATTAACAACTAGCAAAATTAAGAAAATCTACTCAAACATGTCGCGGGGGTACCGTACCGGAGCACTGGTCTTGCTTAGGGAAATTATAAAATGTAGGCGAAAACAGAGTGAATCGATAACAATGAGGGCACCAAATTTTTTAGGGTAGTAGTAAGGGTAGTTTTGGAACAAAATCAATTGGTGAATTCACCATTTACTTCTGATACATTGTGATCTGTTGATGAGTTACTTTCCTAGCTCTTTTGTAAGACCTGCGACATGTATCCAATCCGACCCCATCTTCAGTAACTTAAGAATGTTCAAATTGCCACCAGAAGTTAACTCCTTTGACGTAGAGCGCAATGCTTTTCATTGGAGCACGAGGTGAAGGATCGGGTTAGGTCTTAGAATGCGGAAGACATCTTGATCTGCTACACGTAATTCACGGTACACAGTTTCTAACTATTGGTAGTGTATTGCCAAGTGTTTTATACATTTTTATAATGTCATAAATGTACTGATTTAGTGTTAAATATCTACCATAATTGTAACGGTACTCAAATACATGTCATATGAAGGAAGTACAAACCCGTTGTCTGTAAGCGAACCAGTTCACAAGACTGGTTAAAAGTCTAAAACTAAACTGTAAATATAACTCAAAGCATACACACATCTCTGTACAGGCCGCTATCACGTTTTATGCAGGAGTTTGGTTATAATATCTGTAGATTATAATGCTAGAAATTAATTAGATTGGCGTAGTTTGCACTAATTTGCTACCTTGCTTTTTTTGCTAAAGTAGAGCACGGTGCTGAGTGTTGTAGTATTGTAAGGGAAAGAATTGTAATTCGTAATTTAATTGCGCAGACACTTAATACAATTTCTGCGGAGAAGAACTCAACCATCGTGTTCCCGCTGCCTATCGATTTGCTGACTTACTTCATGCAATCCAAGGGGGCCTAATCACTACTCAAGTCAGAGTTATGTACAATGTCAAGATGCATCTTCGGAGCTTATCACTGATTTGAACCTAGTATAAGTGATATTTTCGCACTATGGTTTTACCAACTAAGTACTTACACTTTAATGCAATTTTTACTCTAGTAATTCAAACTTTATATAAGTGTTTATGAAATAAAGTTTAATACGTGTTGTTTAATTTTATTATTGAAATGCTCACCTTAAAATTAAAAACCTCCAGAATTGGTAAACTCAAGTTTAAACAAAATTTTAGTGATAAATTGCATCTAAAACATCATCGGGCCATAGACGTTGGTGACATCTAAGTAAATGCCATCACGTGTTGAGCTATTCATTTGAACTACAGTAGACTCTCGTTAATACGAACTCAGAAAATTCCAGAAGGTTTTATAATATAACAGGGGATCAAAAATGAGTTGCAGTCGCGACGCCTTTGGAAGTTTAAGTTAAGTACGATTTCCTATGCAAACAAAAATTCCAAAGGTGACTCGACAGCAACTCATTTTTGATCGCATAGTTCAATATGTGCCATTTTGTAAATTATGAGCACAAACACATGCGTTCGCCTCTGGCACTTGCTACAAAAATACCCAATAAGCTACCAAAACAGTTGCAAGCAAGTCTGAACCTGCAAAATGTACCTACTGTTCACATTACTGAGAGTATACGTTGTTCACACTACAGAGTAGCCAATAGGAATGTTTTGCTGTTCATATATGGGAATGTTCACAAAAACGCGAGTGTACTGTAGTTTAATTCAGGTAAAACATCTATTCTTTTCAATACATTTCCAAAGCCAACACGTAAAAGCAGTTCCAAAATATTCTCTCGATATTACACGAGCAGAAAGTGTTTTAGTCAACTGCAACGGTGAAATTGAATAAACATAAAATGAAACTCAAGTGGTGCAATGATTGTTCTTATAACGCCTGTAATTTTTTAACTTTAAATTGTAGCATTAACACTGTTTTCTTACCGAAGTACTCTTTTTTGTTAGGCTCTCTACGCCATTTCGCGCGAGAAAAATTCCACCATCATATTTCCGGTGCCGATCGACATAATCTCCCACTTCTTGCACATCGAGTAATTGGCCTAATCGAATGTTGAGGTCCTAATCCAGATGCACCAAATAAGTACCTAAACCACTTCGATGTATTCAATTCAACCGCATGTGTATTCATTGCGTTTTTTACTCATCAGTGTAAACCTGTAAACAGAATGAAATAAGACTGGATCCTAAACTAACCAACTTGGTCACGCCAAGCGTACGCTCCAACTTAACGAATAAACAAATGAGCTGTGAAGAAGTACCTAACCGTGCGTGGGTAATGCCAAAACCCTTCTAAATATTAACTAGTTGAGAAATGATTCAAGGCACAAGTTCACTTCCACATCGACTGTATTCCTGTCCGGTCAAAATAGACGTAAAAATACTGATCAAATAACAAAAAACTCCGACAGCTGAATTTTGGTAGAGACCTTGGGTACACTAGCAGAAATAAAGGGCCAAAAGTCCCCATAGATACCATGTGTATTAATTTTCCAATAAAAATCCGTTATAACAGATCGTGGAGTAGGCCTACCGGGGAAACCACGTTAAAAAACGCACCACGTAGGTATACTTACTACCTCATCGTCGGTATGAAAATGTGTAGAATGTAACTCCTTCAACGGGAAATATCTTAGGAATGGCGATTCTTAAAGAAAAGAGTATAAGAATCATTTTTGTAGATTTTATGATCTACAATCTTTGTCTGAGCTACGAGTTTAATAAAACCTACCGTTTCGAGAAAAAATCTAAAAAACCGAAAATTTTGACATTCTTTAGCACACATGGGATCTATGGGGACTTTTGGTACCTTATTTCTACTGGTGTACCCAAGGTCTCTACCAAAATTCAGCTCTGTCGGAGTTTTTGTTATTTGGAATGTCTATTTTGACCGGACTATCCTGGTAGATAATTGCTTGTTATTAATCGTAGAATTTGCATTGAGAAAATGCCCGCCCTTCAGCTCTTCCCTTTGTTATTAATATTCCCATATGGTTTCATTCAAACTTAAAAATATGTAGGTGCTCGTTCTGCAGACCTGAAATTCGTTCTGCTATAGCGAAGTACTTACAGCTCATTAAGCAACACTTAGCGCTAACTCCCGCTGCACTTTAAAGAAGACCTCATCTAGAGTTACAAAATTAGTAAAAGAATAATCCTTCAAAAGCTATATACGAGCTAGCATTTAGATATACGTACATGTGGTCGTTTATCTTATCTATTATACTGCACTTTTTATACTTTTTATTGTTATATGTGTAATAAAACATACGATGTGTCTAATTTTTCTATGAATCAGTGTACCATTGAGATGTATAGATAGAATCAATAGGTAAGTAACTTGTTAGTCGAAATCACTATTCAAACATACCCACTCTACACCTTGTACAATACTTCTTAAATTATGCCTACACGTAAACTACGTTGGTCTCGATTCAATCCGTAGAAAGATCAGTACCAGAACAATTTTTGGTGGCTGAAATATTTTTAAGACTTTCTAACCACTGGAAGGTGCCTCTGAACTTTCAGTCGAAACGCGACGTCCCAGGGCCTTATAAGTGGAACCGTCTTCTCCAATTGAACCCTGCGGATTGCAGCGGAACCCTGCACCCCTCAATCTCATGCATGCTGCACCTTGACTTTGACAGAGGTTCAGTGATGTGCGCCTCCGGATGCGGCCCTGGAACAATCGTCACCCTAAACCCTACCGCAGCGATTTGCCCTTGGGCTCGTGGTGCACAGGGATAGAAATCCCCCTTGCGCTATCTCTCTCGGCGCACGCTGTTTCTATGGCAAAGAGCGACAATGCGCGTTCCAGCATAAGTGCAGTGAGGATATGTCATACCAATGACTTAGAAAACTAATTGCGGGAGTATTATATGGTAGAGGGGGTAAGGTAGACGGAAGTTACCACATCCAGAGGGCACTTCACTCTCGTGGATAGGTTCCCATGAAGGTACATTTTCCGAGATTCGACATATGAAAACGCGGGTCTGTCACTGTCAGTAGTCCACTAAATTAAACTTTTTATTAAATTTTTCATTTCAAAGCCATAATTTCAGATTGCTTTACCACGAGCATGTTATATTTTACCCTTTCTATACACTTTATGTCATTATTCCTATTAATGGAAAGAAAATTATATCTCTACGCCACTGGAAGAGGGACGTTAATGATAACGGAAGTGGTGTGGTACCTTGATCACAGCCAAAGGTCACTGATTAGGCGCTTTCCTTCGACTACTTCGCGATCATGATTGTAATTCGTAGGATCCTTAGGCGCTTTCTTTCGGTGATCCAAACGCGTTTGGATTGTCAAATCACGTTCTTCTTCTTCCGAAGTGCGATTGCTAAAATCGTGAACAAACTGAACATAAAAGTTTTATGATCATGAATTCCTAACCTATAAATGCAAGGATATTTTTGCTCAAATGTTAGGTTAGGCAATTTTTGTAGCTGAAGAGGAGCATAATCGTGCAAGTACTTCCACTTGTATTTAAATTATTTTCATATTCCAAACAAAAAATACGTAATTCGAATGCAAATGTGTAAGTACTCCTTAAACTTAAAACCATACTTTGATTTAAATTCACACGTTCTTTCGTAAAACGTGATCCTACGAATCATGATCGTGAAGTAGCCGAAAGAAAGCGCCTCTTATTTACTCGTAGATCCTTATATACAGAGTGGTGACTTGCGTAACGCATCATAGGGATTTCAATGTAAAATTCATAACATGCGATTATTGGCTCCCCAAATTATTTTAGAGCAAAAATGTATTAAGGTTTTTTGTAGAAAAAAATTTTTTACGTCAATCAACCGTATTAGTTTTCAATTTTTTTCATAATAAAGACGGAAAATTGGAAAAATAAAACCCGCATTTTTTTTCAATAATCTGCGATGCCATTTGAGGATTAACCGTCATCATTCGACATTCATGGAGCATATTCTAAATCCCCTAAATCATATGTATGATCTACAATTCTGCTTATTCGTAAACATGGCTTTAGATATTCGGTTTCATTCAGTGATTTCGGCATTATTAGGTTGGCAGCACGGTTGGCAGTAACAAAAAGTATTTAATGTTTTGCTGTCATAAATTTATAAATTGAGGTTGATGACGTTTATTGAAAAATTTGTAATTTGAATGTTTTTATAACTTTTTTCGAAGTATGATGCAACACCAGTACTGGATAACAAAGAAGAGTGTACAGCGTAAATTGGGTAGTAAAGAAGATGAGTGCATTGTCTCTTCGGATGCAGAGCTTGATGCAAAATTGGAACTGTTTCGTTCCATCGCTGAAAGCTGTATACATTTACAACGTATAATTGACCTGTATCAAGAAAGGTTGTGCTATTTAGCCCAAGAAGAAAATGCTCTCGGAAGATACCTAAAGGAATGCGGTAAAAATGAAAAAAATGCGAGCGCCGGTCAATTACTGGCAGCAGCCGGAAAGGCACTTGCATATACGGGTCATCAGCGGTTAACAATTCGACCACCACTGTTAAGGCTTCACCATGAAGTGGAAACATTTCGTGGGCGTGCCGTTTCTGACACTCGAGTTACAGTATCGGAAATGGAAAAAATTCGTACAGAGTATCGAGCCGCTTTAAGTTGGATGAAATCTGTTTCTACAGAGTTAGATCCCGACACCGGCTGCGGATTGGAACGTTTTCGTAAAGCTCAAACGTATGTGAAGTCTTCTAAAGTGCGCTTCGACAGATTAATGCTGGCCTGCTTACAAAAGGTTGATCTACTCGCAGCGGCACGATGTAATATGTTTTCGCACGCTTTAATCTCCTACCAAAACGCAATCTCTACCTTTTCGTCTAAAGCTTCGGATACCTTACTGTTATGCTCGAGTAAATTGAAGAATGTCGAACCTTTTGAATTTTCAATTGTATCGGAACTCGCGACACCACAAGACAAGGAGGAGAAGGATAAAAGTACATTTTTTAATGCCGATTATACTGATAAAGTCAAGGAGGAAAAGGCACAAGAAGCTGAGTATGTCCTTGCACATTCCCTTTCATTTTTCACCATGCTTTGTTTACAGAACCACTTCTAGAGATGCTAGTGAAGTGTCTAATTTGTTAGGGGAAGATTTCACTCCCTCAATGCCAGAAAGTAAAGCACCCGCGATGGTGGAAGATAAAGCATTGACAAATTTGGCTCTCTTAGAAATGAATATTTCGAGTGAAGCAGATCTGCTGGGCGATTTTATGCCATCTCGATTAATGCAGGAAGAAAATTTTTTCAATTTACCCGAACAGTTCGATTCAGTGCCCAATAACAACATTCCGTCGAAGCTTAAAGGAAATGAAAAGACTGAAGCGCAAGTTTCTTGGTTAAGTTTATTTAAGGAATTGGATCCCTTAGCTAATCAAGATTTGGGATCAGGAGATAAACTATAAATAACCATTCCAAATGTATTCGAGCTTTATTTTCTTAATGTAATGACCAAAGATAATTTGTTGCCATGTACCCATCTCATTTATATTGTTTTAAAGTATTTTTTTATTTATTTACATTTGAATCTCAAACTAGTCAAGACCAAAGTTGTAAAAGATCTTAATTTACAGGTTTACTTAATCATATTATGTATAATAAAGTATTATTTTACACATCAATTTTGATCCCTACTTGGTTTATATGTTACTAAACTAATATAAAGTGTACAGCCAAATAGAATAAATTCGATAATCTGCTGCTGTGTAACCCACCTTTGCCAGTAAGTTCCATACTAAATACTATGTAATGTCATACAAAGTGTGAGGGATGCTAGAAAAAGTGAATGAGACTGTCATGTCACTAAAAATGGCTTTAAAAAGTCCTAAAAAAAAGTACAGGGATACCCGATTACGGTCAAAACGGAGAATCTAAACGTCCCATAATTATTACACAACTTTTTTGACAATTGGCACGTTATCGTGAACCTTACTGCAATTTTTCCTAAGACGCACTATTTATACGAAATGTAACATACTAACGTAGTCAAAAACTGTTATCAATTATTGTCTTATCCAAACCCATTAACTCGTAACATACCTGTCTATTTTATAAAAAAAATAATACCTTCGAATGAATTTTAAAGATAAAGAAATTGTACACAAAATCGACCTATAAATTTTACCAATTTAAATAAAACCATTAATTTCGGTTATTTATAGTAATGGCCCACATTCAATTAAATACACGAACCGTCTGTCCAGTGATAAAACGACCTTCAACAATAGAATATAGTTATTTTATGCATCTCTGTTAAATGAACCCAATTTCTTAATACGGATAGTTAACTAAATTCAATAACTTGCCCTCTTTTAATCACACAAGAAAAGAGCTATTCCAAGATATGTACTCACTTACTTTCTCTTTTCCAATGTCACACGATAATAGTTTTCAAACTTGGTTTCCAACCTGTACAACAACATTGTGATAACCCACCCTTATGGTTAGGCAACACACCTTTACATTAGAAACAAAAATATGATATGCTCTGTATATAACTAATCGACCGTTTTGCGCAGATGCCGAATTGTGATTTTCGTAACGAAACTAGAGGAGGAGGGAAGATGGCGACGATGTCGACGGATTATTAAAGTCACTAATATCTATGTATATAGTGACTTTACGGATTATGATTATTTTGGTGGTGGTGCTTTGAAGGTGTATTTACAGGTAGTAACCATTTTATTCTTTCTTGTACTAACTGTCAATAATTGAATTTCTTGCCACAATTTGATATTATTTACATTTTGCTGAATTTGCATAAACTACGATATCTGAATCATTACGTGCTCCATGCCTTTGTTTTGAGTACCGTTAGATGAATCGTGTTTGCTATACTAGTACAGGTGATTATGCCATTATTTTATTCTATTAAGTAGTTATTTCTGTTATTCACCAGGAGTTGATTATCAGGTGCGATGTTGCTCTGTTAGATTGATCCGTAAGTATTCCGTGATGGAAGTACCTAAAACAGTTTGATTGTTCGCTGTATCTGTTACTTTCTGATTCCTGGCGCGCTGCAGTTCTTGTACGTTAGCTATCCGAAGGGGGGCTCTCTTATTTGAGGTTTCGATGTTTGTGTGTGCGAGTGGTTCATTCTGTCTCCGTGGAATAGGTACCTAATACAGTTCGCTGTATCTGTTGCCTACTTGTTTCGTGCGGATTGCAGTTTTTAGCATCTTAGCAATGCGAGTACGGACTCTCATTAACATTTCCACTATTTAAAATATGTTCTGCTTGAGCGATAATCGATTTTCACATGAATATTTGCTATTGGCATTCTCACATGTACTTTTCGTGTTACATCAAATTATGTTAACGGAAGACGAGTAGAGCCACACCATTTACCATTGCATTTGATTTGATTATCTGATTTTTATCAGACAATTTAAAATGTTTTATTTATGTGTATTTTCTCTTGCATTTTATTGCTGTAGGTGATTTATTTCATGTATTTGTGTGGCCTATGCCGGGGTTTTTGTCCCGTAGAAGGCTTCCCTGGCATGGTCTTGTTGTGTGCCTATATATTTATTTGTTCTTGTCATTTCTTACACACAAAAGTTCTCTCTTATTTAATTCCCTTCCCGATTATGTCTCACGTCCCAACATATATAACAACCGATTACACAACGTAGGAGTCCATTCGTGCCATCCCTATCGAGCCGACTGCCATCCAAATTCAAAAGTGCCGCGAAACGTCCATCGTTTCGATTTGAAAGGTAGGTGGCTCTGCTTGTAGATTTTTGCCAGTGTTGCCAACGGTAAGTATAGGGTAAGTCAACGTTTTCAGTGTCTGCTTGATAGACCCCTAAGAACATTACAACATCGAGGAATTTTATCTCCCTTTTAATCATTACTTTACACCGATATTTAAAATAGTATACCAATATGACAAAGTAAAGAATAAAGGCTAGATTTTGAATCAAACACGTACGCTGTATGCCACAATTGCAGTTCTCCCGCGGTCGACAAAAACTTCGCTGCCAGTGAAAATCATGACGCTCATTTCCTTACGAACTCTCAAACATGCAGTTTGAATTGTTAAATTTCGCGGTAAAATATTTCCAGTTGCGTTTTTCTCCTTAAATGAAATGCATAAAGGCGGGAACCATTCAAAATTGCTAGATACTGTTACATCACAGACTCCAAGATGTCGTGAGGAATATCCTTCTCTTCAAACCATTCAAAAGTTCACTGCTATCCGATGCAGAAACGTGTAGCATCTACATCTTCGGACTGCGCTACACAAGCACTGCGTGAGGTTTTTGCTACGCATGGGGTCTTAGAGGTCAACAACAGTACGTCAGGCATCTACAACGGTGGGCAAAACGCAATGAGATACGTCATACCATTTCGGCATACTTCCCGTCATCGAATCAAGCAGAACGGATTCCAAGAAATGAAAAAGACATTGACGAAATTGAGTTCAATGAGTTTTATTATCACAACGCAGCACCCCACCTCTATTGCTGCTGGACTATATCACCATCTAAAATAGTGTTTAAGAGGAAATCTGAACCAAAATCAAGAGAAAATATTAGCTAACCCAAAACATGCTTATCAACCGAATTTGCAAACAGCGAGGTGAAACATGTGAGACTACTGACTGCTTTTAGGATTTGGCAGAAGCTCTGAAGAGTTAGAGATGAGGTTGAAACAATACTCGTTTTACCAAAATGATACCGGTACCTGCTACACCGCGGCATAGAGGAAAATTTCCTCTATACCCGCGGACACAGAGGATCACGCTAATGTCGGAGCCATATCGAGATTCTGTAAGGACATTTGTGAAGGAAACAGTGTTGTCTATTCGGACGTAATATCAAAAATGTGCGCAACAAAGTAGACAGTTTTTGCTTTTAGAGATATGGTGGTAGATGTCAATAAATAAGAATGAAATATTCGTCTGTTAATAATTCGATATTACTTTCTTGCCTCTAAAATGTCATAATAGTCGATTGTCGAATCCCTATTATCATTGATTATACAGTGTGTATAATCAATGCTACTCTACTACATCGTCAAATATCATTCTCATTTAATAACTTGAATGCAGCCTAGCTTAATTCTCCATTTATGGATAATTGGATGCAACCATATCTCCCTGTCAAACTAAACTTTAGAGGTTATAATAATAATTTATTAAATTTTCACAAAAAGTTTATTAATTATAATACCTCCTAATGAATTTACCATTTTCAAAAATACTTAAATATGTAAGGCTTTAATTCCGTCACATCAGAAAATGGACTCTGAAACTAATTCAATTCTAATCGAGGACTCTGATGATTCTTTACTAGACTTTAAAGAAGTAAGTACGCTAATACCAAGTTTAAACATTAACCACTAAATAAATTTCAGTTAAACGATCTCGAATATGATATACCGCCGGTCGCTCCGCCTACCCTCGAGAGCGTCTTGTGGGATTTGGAATCGGAAGAGGGTAGTGACAGTACTTCTTTACATTCGTTACATAGCCTTACTCAGAAATCAAAGTCAATGTTATACCATGGTATTTTACAAGGAATTTCTTCGCAAGTTGCATCGGCAGGGGTATAGATGCGACAGGCGCTATACTTGTAATGCACACATCTGTTTAGGAACGCGTCAGTGCTGGCTTACCAACTGTTATATCGAACAGTGTAAAATTTGTGGCCGTGGGAACGTCACACGGTTTCGCGTTGGCTTTTGATTCCGAACAGAAATTGTGTTGGTGCTGTCACGATCTGAGCACAAATGATCAGGGTGCTATTTCTGCGTTAGCCTTTAATTTAGATTCTACACGACTACTCGTTGGGTATGTATGTGTCGTGTTCACGACTTTTTAGTGGAGACCTTTTAGGTATGAGCGCGGGTACATATCAATGATCGACACTAACAGTGGTGACGTTATTCGTCGTCTACCAGATGCTCACGCACCTCAATCGGCTGTACTACATTTACGCTTTACTTCGTTAAACGGTTTAGCACTAAGTGGTGATTCTGCAGGCTGTGTATTTTCATTAACTTTTAATCGGCGCTTGGGAGTTCGCACGTGGGATTCGAAGTGTTTATTTTCAGGTGCAAGGGGGGAGGTGTGTGTGTTTGAGCCCTTAGTTCAGGACCATCATCTTCAACTGCTTGGCCATCACATTTTAGTAGCAATGGCCACTCTTTCCAAGGTACAGTATCTGACTTGTTCAATTCGAGCGTCGAACGGATAAACCCTGTAGTATAGGCAACCAACATACTGCCTTATAATTGCTTGAGGCCCGCTTGTTTTCTAAAGGAATTAATTAGCACATTTTTTCTGTCTATCTACGCGCAGTTCTATCTCAATGTAGAATTGTAGAAGCATGTTCTCCTTTAAAATTGAAACTCATTGTAAAAACAATAACTTTCGAAAGTCTGCTTATACAATGGATCAAATGATGAATAAAAAATCATGTTTTGATGTATGTGAAAACAGCCAAATTAGTTAATTAATAAGAAAGAATGCCTTGCAATAATTTTACATTTCAACAAAAGAGTTAATTGTTTAAATAACTCTTCATTAGCAAAATAAAGGGAATTTATAACAAGGTATCACTACTGAATGCTACTAATTGAGGACTTACAAAATCCATAGTATAAAGAGAGTAGTGAAAAAAAGGAACAGAGATTTTGACATCTGGGTTTCGTAGTTCTGGATGCGACAATCTGAAAGGGCGACCACAGCAGCAAAGATGTAGCTTTTTGTAAGGTAGATTTATAGAAGAAATATTGAGTTTGTTTACTTAAGGTTAATGTATGTCGTGTACTTTTATTAACTCAATACTCAATAATTGCACGTTTTGGTTCTGGATTTCGACCGCCTAAGCGAAATTAAAATTTCTCGTACACAAAATAGTACGCGCCTGCTTTTATAACTTCGTTAAAAATTCAATTTCAGCTGACTTAAAATGGTAAGCGGTGGTTCGCGAAAATCAACCTAGAATGAATTTTCAACGATAGAAAAATTCCCGCATAAACTGTACGTGAGCGCTCGCGAATCTCAGCTTAGAATTTCCCGCTCTCCCACTCGTTTAAATCTCGCCCGTTAGAACCTCTGAAACGGGACCTATTTTATAAACGAAATAATCTTTTTTAACGAATGGGAAACCCGCATTTACGTCACGTGCTCGGCATTTCACAGAACGGGGATTTCGTTGCAACCGCACTCGTTTTCCGCAGTACGTTTCTTGTTATCACCAGACATACTTTCCTTCACGTTCGCTATGAAGCGATACATGTGTAAATTTTCCTATACTGAACAAAATACAAATTTGAAAAAATATCTTTTTAATTCTAAAGCGACCACCCGTTACAAGTTTCTCGTTATTTCAAATTAAGGGATGGTTTGATCTTTTAGTTTGGGGAAGTATTAAATCATATTGCACAACAGTGACATTTAATGCGGACGGGTTTAGTTGTAAGCTATGCGATATTCGGGGTGGATACTGCAAGATCTGCCAGAACCTCTAGTTTGCGTTGGTTCCATTTTGTGCCAGTGGCAGAGCGGATACAATTAGAGCCGTAGGGGAAGAGCGAGGTAAGCAAAAGGGGTAATAGAAATCAAATATTTTTCATTCTTAATTTCTATGAATTAAATATGTGTCCCTATTGTTCGCTTGTTTTATGGGCCCTCAATCTCGTCCATTTTGCCAGTTTTTGAAGAGCAAAACTTTACCCGAAACAGTGAACCAATTAGATTGTTTTGAAACCCATAATTACACTGCAAATTTTGGTAAACATATTTTGTTAAACAAACGTTTTCATTGTTAACTGAGATTATTTGTTCTATTGTGTTCTTGAGAGACCCTGCGCGTAGCTAGAACCTCTTTAATTTTGCTGCATATGCACAACACGTGTTCCTTCAAAGCACTTGTAACATAAAGGCTGACTTATGCACCATAATCCACAATAAAAGCATTGTAATTTACAGGTGATAGTAATAGCCATTCGCCCTCGACTGAAAATTCTATTCACCCAACAACTTCCGAGAGTGGCGACAACTTTGCCGCTTCTGTCGTGGCAAATTGTTTCCGTGGGTAAAGTCCTACAGCCGGTTTTGGCGTGGGGACGCAGCAACGAGCTAAACTACACCCGTGTCCTGGCGGGATTAAACGGTAACAAACTGAGATTGTCGCAGTTGCGGTCGGTAAGACTTTCGTATACACTCTCTACGATCCATTGGATCGGTTCGCGTCATTTAGTTACGATTGATACAAGCGAAAATTTGCGACTAATCGAGGTGCGAACTCAACGAGAGCTCGAGGTTATCGATATTACAAGTGCGGGTTTAGTGTACAGCTCGGCCCACTTCAAAGCGTTGGCGCTCGGAGGTGGTGTTAGTGAGGCCTTTGCTTTGGCAGGCGAACGCGCCTGCTACAGCAGTATAGTCAGTCGGGGGGATCAACTGTTGGTGCTGGGCACGAAGAATGTTCAGATAGTTAAGTTACGGACGTGGTCTGAGCGTTTGAATTACCTCAGTGATCAAGGCCGTTGGGCGGAGGCGCTGAATTTGGCAGCTGAGGAAAATATGCATCGCGATAAAGCAGCTATGGTTCTGCTAGAAAAGTTCTTGATCAACCTAATACAGAATGGAGTCGATCGAGATAGTCTCACAGCAGCTGTGAATTGCTGTGTTAAATTGAATAAAATGTAGGTATTTATATTATTCTGCACATGCGCGGGTTAGAAATGTTCTGAAAGTACTCATTTCCACGTAACCCCTGGGACTGCCAAAAGAGTCATAGTTACTCATGCTTTCGAAAATCCTAACTCGATCACTTGTTTATGTGACTGTAGGCGCATTTCTGAAAATGGATACATTCAGGACAACAAATTTTAGTCTCCTCTCTGATTATCTCCATTTACTTTTTAGAGATCTGCTATGTAACGATCTGTGGGACGCGGTTGCCTTGGACCAATACACCCTGGAATGGTACTACACGTTACTAATCGACCATATTTCCGACGGTTCCTTATATTTTTTAAATCCGAGTGTTGCACAAGCCTTAGTCACTTACTTACACCAGAAGAGTCCGACGTTATTGGAGAACGTTTTGTTATCGATCGACCTCAGCTGCCTCGATTTACATCAAGTTCTCGGCATCTGCAGGAAAAATAAACTATACGACTCGTGGATTCACATCACAACTAAGACTATGGGCGATTACGTTAGCCCGCTCACCGAGTTCATCGGCGAGTTAACCCCCGACAATCACAAACTCGGGAATACCCTGTTGGTGTACGTTTCCGCGTGTCTGTCCGGTTTGGGCTACCCGCACGGAAAGATACCCGACAGAGACGTACAAAGAATTAAGCATGACGTATTGCGGTGCCTCGAGACTGTACATACGGTTCACGCCGTGGAGAACGAACAAAACTTCCCGTATTTGCGCGCGCTCCTCAAGTATAATACGCGAGAATGTCTCAACGTTGTCGAAATCGCATTTCGAGAGGTCGAGTTCTCGGGAGAAATGGGGTTGTTGCAGAGACAGCGGTTGGTACAGATCCTACTTCAGATCGTTACGCCGCCCGAATTTAGTGTAAGTATAAGGTGTATCTGTGAAAGCGCGGAACGGTCACTCTAATCTGTAACAATGGTTTGTACCTCGGATAACGTTCCGATAATGTTTCCATTGACTCAACACTTTTGACGGAAATACACGTTTTGAAGCACCAGCAATCCGAATCAACTAAAATCTTGATGCTACAACGAACTTGCACGAGAAATAGACAGATGGCGTAACGGGTAGTAAATGGAATATTTAAAACTTAAAAAAGAAAGGTTACTTTCCCGAGTTGTTGCAATAACACTCCGTTCTTTATTTTCTTTCTCTCCCTACTCTTTATTAATTTCCTAATACGCCTACAAAATGGCGGTCATCTGTAATCGTAGACTGCGCCTACTTAAACCAATCAGGCGCGTGTGAAAGCCATTAATTAAGAATCACAAGAATTCAAGAGTGCTAAGTTCGCGTTTCCCATGCTGCGTCGCGGCTTCATTATGAACAATTCTGTTCGGCTGTTTTGGCCACGTCAAAGACATTAAAATTGTGCTATCACCCGTCAGACTGGCGCCGATAAATTTCTCACGCCATTAATCCGTCATGACGCATCGAATAAATATAGACTAAAAATTTTGGAACAATCAACCCTTTAGTTCCATAAAAACCGCTAGGGCTCCCGTTAGACTAAGCGGTGTACCATGTAATTGCATTTCAAAGGGAAAACGATTCAGTTGGCCTTTCCACGCTTTGCAATTTTGTGCCTAACCCATTTTTTTTTATCTCTTTAGGATAGTGAGGTTATAATATTGGCCTGCTTCATTTCTCGACTGATTACATCCGCGAATTTAAGTGCGGACGAGGAGATTTTAAATACAGTCGTACAGTCGCTGACGAACGCCGGTGATAAGTTAAGCTTGCGCGATCACTCGGAACGCGAACAGGCGTGGATCGATTTGTTAAATGGACAGAAGATGGGGCACCTGGATCTCGACGCGCAACTACAAACGGCGTTAGATGCGAAGTGTTACAAGGTAGTCGAATGTATTTACGAAAAACAAGGAAAGTTTGCGAATATTTTGGAATGTTATTTAAACGATAAGGTGAGGCATGTTGAGGTCTTTAGTTACATTCGAAAGTACATTTCGGACGAGGAGCGTTGTATTCGACAGCAGTTTATGGCGAATTTTAAGACGCTTGTCGATGTCGACAGTAAAAGAACTGCAGATGTGGTGATCGAAAATTATTCAAAACTAGCCGAGCAGCTCTGCTGTATTCTCGAGACGGACTCGGAATTACTGTACAAGTTTTTAAGCCAGATTATTTACACCGATGTGAAGTTATCACCGAAGACAACTGAGGAATATTTGCGACTACTTTGCATGAAAAATCCGTCCGCTGTATATAGTTATGTAAAGTTAAATCTGTGCAGAGTAGAGGAGGCCCTCAAAATTACTCAAAAATATCAGATGCACTCCTCAGTCGCGTGGTTGTTGGAACAAAGTGGCGATTTTGAGCAGGCTTTGAATCTGCTACTGCGACACAACATGATCGATTCCGCTCTTGAGGTGTGCATAAGAGGCAGCGAGCATTTAGATGCCAAAGAAACTCAGAAGTTATGGTTGGAACTTCTAAAACATCCGACAGTTGTTGAAAATATTTCCATGAGAGAATTGCTACATTCCGCTGCACCTCACGTGCCTCCCGCGCAGCTCTTAGAGCTTGTGACAGATGCGAACTTGGGCGACATCAAGGTATTGGTGGAGGGTATGCTGTCTGACTGCGAACATGATATTCAGTTATTGAACTCAACCTTTAAAATTTTAAGCTGCGATCTACATCACGGTAAGTTGTAAAAAATCCTAACCTAACTTATCACCATATTCTCAATTGTTAGTGCTTTTTAGTTTGACACTTCTTTTAGGTTTGGCGAAGTTTCTATGCTACCACGGGAAAGGAATATCGGTGCAAACACTCAATTGTAATTTATGCCAAAAAACACTTAGCAATAGGTTAGATAATAAGGAGGAGAAAATCGCTGTATGGGGTTGCGGCCATTCCTTTCACACTGCCTGTATCGCATTGTTAGATGATGGAAGATGCCCGAACTGTAAGACGTCGGCAACTCACTCCTCAAACCAGAAACCACCCAGACGAATTAGATACGAAAGCAAAAGTGATAGTATCCGACTGAGGCCCGACTTGGAAGGGCACTTTTAGTTTGTAATTTTACAACCTAGTCCGGCATTTGTTTTACGCCTTGACCTCTCATAAAGGTGCAAATGTACAAAGAAGAAAATTTTAAGATACATATTAGTCATTTATTATTCAATTGTAAACAATTTTATTTATTTACATATTGTGATATAATAATAATAAATATTAAATCATTTACCTGTCTCCGATGGCTTTTTCAGGGAACAGAGTTCTGTAGTGCTTTATAAAGCTGTGCAGTCGTTCGTCTAAAAGCGCTTCTGTTGCTTGATCTTGATAAATTGAAAGATCACTTACCTTGCAAAAAAGAGTTGTCATATTGATGGTTTGATCGGAAACAGTACAGCATGCTGTGAAACAGAATTGGGTCTTTCAAATTTTCCGCTGCCTGCAGGAACTTTCTAGGCGTGGCGGTTTCTTGAGAAAACTTAAACGCTGACAATAGCTGGCCTTGAGAGATCAGTACTTCTTGAATTTCTTCGTTTGCAGCTGGAATTAAACAGTTTGTTTTAATTGTTTAATATATTATCAATGTCTAAAAAGGATTATTGCAAGTACAAATTCAACAAACATCTTACGCCCCCACATAAAACAAACAAAACGCCGACTCATCGCACAAGCCGACAACAAAAATCGTAATTGAATTTAAGTCGCCTTCCTGCGAGTTATTAAAATATAAAATGCTACATACACCTATGCAAAATTCCACCCTATCAAACTACGCATCGGAAACTACAATATGACCTAAATGATAATAACACCGTATACTAATATTCAATCTTCCCTAACAAATAGGTAATGAAATCCACCCTGTAGTAAAGATATGCTAACGTTTGCTAAGGAAATTTTCCAAAATCAAAAGATTGCAACATAATTTGTAACTTTTAAAACATAATTGAAGCGAAATTCTCATCGAAACTTCTACTTACATGAAAAAACATGATGTATGTACTATCTATAACAATCCACCCCTAACGTACAACCCCTGCCTAGCTGCTAACTCAAAAGGACCCACCAATTCAAATTTATGATAACAATAAACACCTATTAGATCAACAGCAAATAGTTTGTTTCAAACCAATATAGACCACGAGCGACAGATGGATGGACAGAAAGTTCAATTGACGATTATTGACTAAAATTTAATCAGTTAGTACCTTGACCATTGTCTACCTATTACTGAAAACAGAAATGGAAAATTCGAAACCGTTCGCGAGTTACAACACTAAAAGAACAAAAAAATTCAACATTAATTTAAAAGTAATGTTAAAAAATTCAAAAATCAATCACTAATAAAGAAACTTTATGTAAGAAACATTGTTCTACATCTGACAACTTCTTTCTTTCACAATCCTTCGCTTCCTGTTTGTCGACATGTATTATAGAACAAAAAAACGCGTATGCTTGGGTTCGAACCCGCGTCGTCTGCCATCCGGCGGTGGCAGTCTTACTAAGCTAGTCATATCGACCCACAGTGTGGCAGAAAGCCGGTTGGGCGGCCAAAATTCGAAAAAAAAAGTTTCTAAATCAGGAAAAGTTATAAAGGTGTGAAAGTGCTTGGAGTAAAGGAAATCCAAAAAAAAAACAAATGGAATCTATGTCTGAAGGTTAGTAAAATACGCCAAAAATTTTTCGAATATCAACATTGTAACAAAAAATTTGTTCTAAGGGTATTTTTTGGTTTTTTTTTTTAAAACAATATTCAAGTTGATAATTGAAACAGTACATAATAAATTAAACAAATATAGCAAACGAGCTCCTGGGTATGGCTATAGCATATGCAAAACCAAATTTTAAACCTGATGTTAGTTTTGCTTTTATTTAAGTGTATATGTATGAAATTTCATTTGAATGCCTCCATAAATAAGCTGCGCATGCGCAAAACCAAATTTTGAAACTGATGTTAAATTTTCTTTTATTCCAAGTGGTTATGTACCAAATTTCATTTAAATCCCCCTATAAATCAGAAAGTTGGCACTGCGCATGCGCAAAACGAAATTTTGAAACTGGCGTAAAATTTGGTTTTATTCCAAGTGCCTATCTATCAAATTTCATTTAAATACCTTCATAAATAAGAAAGTTTGCAATTCGGTCTGTAAATGGTCGAGATGCGCAAAGGGCACTGTGAATGCTGATCGATTAGGTTCAACTTTTGGAATTGTGTTTTATATGGCTAAAGCTATGCGCATATTGAATTTCATGCAATTCGGTTCATAACTAACGGAGATGTCGAAAGGGCCTACTTTATTTTTTGGGCTACATTGCCAATTCACGAACTCCGATCTACAAATTTGATAAAGACTCCACCTAGAAAATTTCATCGTAATCGGTCCATTCGTTTATGAGTTATCGTGCTAACGGACGGATGGACAGACACAACAAAATTATAAACTCGCTAGGAGCTCGTTAATAACACGCTGTCGGATGCTGCCTTGAAACCTATTGGAAGTTACAGAGTTACTGAGAAACGTATTAGCATTGTATTTATCGTTTATAAATACAATGGTATTAGCTACTGAATAAATTAAACAAATATAGCAAACGAGCTCCTGGGTATGGCTATAGCATGTGCAAAACCAAATTTTAAACTGATGTTGGTTTTGCTTTTATTTAAAGTGTATATGTATGAAATTTCATTAGAATGTCTCCATAAATAAGCTGCGCATGCGCAAAACCAAATTTTGAAACTGGCGTTAAATTTGCTTTTATTCCAAGTGGCTATGTATCGAATTTCATTTAAATACCTTCATAAATAAGAAAGTTTGCAATTCGGTCTGTAAATGGTCGAGATGCGCAAAGGGCACTGTGAATGCTGATCCGTTAGGTTTAACTTTTGGAATTGTGTTTTATATGGCTAAAGCTATGCGTATATTGAATTTCATGCAATTCGGTTCATAACTAACGGAGATGTCAAAAGGGCCTACTTTACTTTTTGGGCTACATTGCCAATTCACGAACTCCGATCTACAAATTTGATAAAGAATCCACCTGCAAAATTTCATCGTAATCGGCCCATTCGTTTATGAGTTATCGTGCTAACGGACGGACAGACACAACAAAATTATAAACTCGCTAGGAGCTCGTTAATAAAACATAAAATTCAGCTGCTACTATCTACTACTTGAGTTTTAATGTATATTTTTTCTAATGAAATAGAAAATGTTATCTATTAAATACCTATATCATACAGGGAGTTCCTAAATATGGTGTAAATACAGAAGGGGTTAATTGTTTGGCTTATTTTATGACTAAAAGTTCATATAAACATAGACCCGCAAACGCTTCGTTACCAATCTACAGGGTGCTATAGTTCTACCGTACACTGTACAATTTAAACCTTCAATTTATAAACATATGCAAACACAAGATACTATTTTCAATGACAACTGTCAAAACTAATACAAGCAAGATATTATCCAAATAAAGTCAGGGCCTGGCCATTTAAAAAAATTATACTTTCATTTTACTAACTACCGAAAATTTTTATTTTTTTTCTCAATAACGGTCGCAATTGCGAAATAATTACAGGAGTCCAAAACGTCTCTAAATAAACCATGAAATGAAATTCTTGTTTCATTATCTACCGGTTGCGCAGCAAAAAACAGTTCATGGGTCGAAAATGGAACATGACCCCTGAAAATTCTCACTATCATTGACATGACCAATGCTGTAATCCCTTCAGCGTACCAGGTACACTTACATTAAAATTTGATATAAAGAAAAAACAACAAGATCTTGAAGTCCTGTAGACACGAACTTATAAATTAAAATGGACTGCTAATGCTGAATTGACAAATGACACCTACAAATAATTAGACCCTTCCTTATTTATATCATATTTAGGAACACTCTGTATAATTAGTGGACTTCTTATTTGATAAACAGTTAATATGTTTTATTTGTACAGTTTGTGACTCTTGATTCGTATATCACCTAAAATTCTTGTAACAATTTCAAAAACGTTTGTTGTTTTCACACATTTATTTATAATTACTAAATTTTCTTGTAATTACAAAGCTTTGAAACGTAGAAAAACTTTCAAATTTTTTGCATAATCCGCCACCATATTGGATCCGCCATTTTGATTTTTGCACACTCGAAAACCCACTCGTACAAAATTGCAAATGATTTGTATAAAAAGTCAAATATTTCGCAAAGGACGACGCCATATTGAGTCCGCCATTTTGAATTTCGTAATTCTGACAACGAATTCGTAATCAGCGACCCTCAAAAACCTATACGAAATTGCAAATCATTTCTTTAAAGTTTCGAATTTTGGCCGCAAAACGCGGTCTTCGGCCGCACTGTGCGACATCTATTAATCATCGCATATACTGTTATAAATGCGACTAATACATACAATTAACAAAATCTTAAATTCATTTCATTCACTCCGAAGTTATTAAATACTATTTAAATGTGTAGGTATATTAGTCAATAATAATTCAAAGGCGCTTTAATAATGCCAAGCCTACAGTCGAACATGGGACGCCCTGTACAAAAAATGTATAAGATCATCAATTTTATTGGGACCTTCAAGACAAAAATATACTCTCAAATGGGTATCCTATGTGAACAGATTACTTTCACGTGATATGTCAGATTGAATCTATAGGAAAAGTATTTCATCAGGGGCAGCTCCTCTAGTAGTGGTGCAGGATGGGATTAGTAAGGATTCTTGGTCATTACAATAGCTACCCAACTTGACATATCAGGAACCACCGCTGGATCTTATAGTACCTATACCTACCTACATTACTATACTTACACAGTCTTACTAACATGTCCATAGCTAATTGTGAGGCAGATGGATGCAGATTTCCTAGTGACAATAGCAGGCAGGCGAGTGGTTTGGAATCGGCGACAATGCCGTATTGTAGCAATTGCATGAGAGCTGTAAATTTATGACGCTGCACCTAACGAGGATACAAAATTAAATTAGTATTTCACAATAAATGGCGTTTTAGGCGCGTTCCAGACTGGAGGTGCGTAAATAAATAACTAGATACAGTGCGCGGATGCGAGCTATCATGTGATTCATTAATCACATTCCAAATGAAAATCAGTAGTTACTCGCCTCAATGCACCACGTTATCACAACTCGCCTATAAATATTCCGATAAGATTTGACCCTTAACCGTCCCCAAATGGTGCTCAATGGAAGCATTAAAAGGTTTTCCTCTGACCAAGTAGGAATATATCAAATCTTCACGTATTTTGTTTTACATTAAAGCACTTTAGATTGTGTTGAAATTACCTCTACTTACCAAAGTTTTAATTAGTAACTCGTTCAACAGCAGCTCAGTGGGAATGCAGTACTCGGAAAGCGAAGTGATATAACATGTCAAGGCCCATTCAAGATTTTGCAAATGTTCATCGTTATTCATCAGCTTTTGCAAAATATTATAATAAATATCGGACTGGCTAATTAGCACTCTCGGCGGTGCCGGTGGTTTGCTCGGCGGCGGAGCGCTAACCGGAGAGGCAGTTTGCATCTGTATCTCTGCCTCCGCCCATATGCGATATACTGAGTTTATGTGATTGAACGATTCTTGAAGCTTAAAGAGGGACGGCTTGGGTAGAAGAATGTGGTCTAGAAGTAACTGAAATGGAAATATAAATACCATTTCGAAGCAACCAAAGAGGTTCCCCAAGGTAGCACACTGGGACCGTTATTATTTACAATCGTTCTACAGCAGATTACAATTTTACACCACATACCATTGTTTATAAAAAATAAATAAAAAAATTTATTGAATTTCGACATACTAACCTGTAATAGAACTGATTTTCCAGTGGTACGTTTTAAAGCCAATTGTGTGCAAAGAGCCAGATCAGTTATTTGCGAACATAACGTCGTTAAACAAAGTTTTATGTGCCACAAACAACCCAATTTCGCATCAATTACTATGTTTGGCTGGAAAACAACCCAGTTAGGAGAATCTATTGCATGTTAAGAAAAATGTGTATTGTGCTACTGTCCTGCAACAACCCCAATTACGTTACAGCACGAGTTGTGGCATTTTTATTGACAACTATTGGAATACGTTTTTTTCTGTTGAGTATTTTAAAAATGCAAAGGATACACAACTCACATTCGTGACTTTGGGGCTCCACAAGTCCAGGAACTGGCAGAGTAGTTGGTTTAAGTGATCTGGGCAGAGTCACAGACTTATGATATGTAACAGTACCGTCACTTTCATCCGATAGAGAGATATCGTACACTTGCGAAGTCTTGGAAGCCTTAAAAAATTCATTTCACAACTGAACATGTAGTTAACATGCAGACCTGATGATGTACTAAAATCAAGTCGTCCACAACATTTATTGCAAAACGACCTGTTAGATTTAGCCGTAGAATATGACTTCTAACAGGCGCTTGTCCAGGTCCGTTTAACATATGTATGTGTACCTCCGCCGTTTGCGGACCGCTTTGATGGCGAAGTATTAAGATTGCAGGTATTTCGTACAGAGTAGCTAAAGTCACATCCCTTTCTAAGGTCATCCTACCAGGCTCGGCTACAATAAACCACTTGATTTAGGTTAAAGACACACAATTACTCACTTTCAACCTTAGCCAATTTACTAATTGTGCCCGGTTTAAATACAACCGGTTGCAAATGAGAACCGTGACTTGAAGCCAATAGTGCAATTTTATTCGTCGGGCACCAAACAAACCACTGTATTACAGTGGTGGTTGTCTTTAAATGTTTAACCAGCTTCTTCTCGGGAATGAGTAAATACAATTCAACACCGTGGTCTGTAATCAGCGCGACCTCATTTGTTTGCGTCCACACAAACCCTAAAATCGCAGTATTCTTTTTACAACCCTGAGAAAACTCCCCCTCGATTATATTTCCGTTAAAAATCATAAATTCCACCGAAGTCTTAGTACGTTGTACGGCCAGAATGCTCTGATCCAAACTGAATTTAATCGATATGACTGGACCACGGTCTTCCATACGAAAATTAATTGGGGGTGCGTCTTCAGTTGGACCTTTAACAACCACCCCCATTGTACCACCCGATCGAACTGCAAACACCTTCGAACAACACGTGATTACAGTGATATAGTTACTGGTACCTGTTTGTTCGAATCGTCGAAGAACACATTTGTAACTTGATTAACGGCCTCAAAACGAACGGGACGTTCAGATAGTTCCAAGAATGGATCCTTGGACGAATTCATTTCACTTTTGTTTAAAATGAAACGAGCTTATTCAGCATATCGACTCTACTAAGTATCAAAATTCGCACAAAGCGACTCAAAAAGAGAAGAGAGCAATCAATTTTTCTTACATGAAATCCTAAAATAGATCCATAGTCCCTAAAAGTAGTTCCACTTATATTGACACAAATAAGTAGTTCTCTATTGGACGCGTGTCTCCGTTATCGTCATATTGGAACTTCTAAAACTGTATACAGTACTACAAAGCTTACCTCTGACAAAACACGAGTCACGAGTTTTGTTTTTGAAAAAGAAAGATATACGATACATAATGACAAACAGAATAAGTAGCGCGAGCAATATTAATTTATATCTTATGTCATTGCGCGCCACCTCCAGTAATTATACCTATATGTATTTATACAGAGCAAATCATAATAAGTACCCATATTCGCTCCATTTGCGGCGCGCTCTTTTAAAAGCATACTTACACTCAACCATGCGCAAGTGAACGCAGTTACTCTCTGTAAGCGCTTGTTGACAAAAAGTGTGGGAAAGCGCTACAAATTTATGCAAAAGTGAATTCTTTATGAATAAATGAGTGGACTACCTTTCTTTTCCCTGTCTGACTATAAGCATAATACACATTGCATAACATCAAGGAGCTTGAAGCAAGCAGCGCATTTGTACCATCAGATACAAGGGTCAAATTATTGTTGCGAAACTTCCAGTACAGTATATGGAGTTGATTATTGCAAGGAGTGGTGGGATCAGTTTTATAGAAATAAACATTTATTTTTCACTTTACTGTAATTCAATGGTAACTCCTTGGATACGGGATACGTAAACAAGTCCATAACAACCAGGGCGTAATGAGAGGGCGTAATGAATTCATTACGCCCTCAAAATAGGTTAATTATATTCGTTCAATTTTTTTTATTAAGTCAAACTAAATACTTGTAATACAAAAGAAAGCACAATTACCCGCCAATATGAAAATTACAATTTTCAAACTTTCCCGAAAATGTAATATTTTTGTTAGAAAGGCCAGGGACGTTTATATTTTTATCCGATATGGATGACGACAGTTCCAAGTGATCATCTGAATATGATGTAAGGTTAACATTATTCGAGGTTTTGCCTCCAAATGAACCCACCGCGCTTGCAATAATGCAAGAAATCCGATTTTTGGAAATGAGGCTATCTTCTACGTAACTCTGCGCAACCGTGTTACTCTTCCACTTGCCGTGCATTTTCAGGGTTTCAAAACTTGCTCCTGCTTCAACCAAAAGAGTGGCTGACGTTCGTCTCAAGCAGTGACCGGTAAATTGATGAGGGTTATCTAACTTTAAGTATTTGGCAATTATATTTGGGACACTTCCTATGGTGTTTTTTCCGACAGGTTGCACTGTGCAACAACCTTTCCTATATGTGAGGAAAAATCGGCGTTCTTTCGTATGCTTTGGTCTTAGTGCTAGGTATTGTCGAACTAACTTAAGAGCATTTATTTCTTCTTCCTCCACGATTGTAAAACCTTTAGACGTACCTGTTTTAATCTCTGGCACGTTTACAATTACAACAGATCCTTTATCGGTGATATCGTCAATACACATTTTGACCATTTCATCCCTTCGTAATCCACCAAAAACACCCATCACCAAAACTACTTTATGCAAAAGATAAATATCGTTAGGGGCACGTTTGATAAACTCAAAAACTTGATCTCCTGTTAAAACCTGTGATTTTTTTGGTTTATATCCCTTCGATTTGACTTTTAAAAAGTAAATTAGTTAATTATAATTTGAAATGTCAGTTTTCTTTTTAACTATGAAAGTTGATTTCAAAAGAGAGTATTTGGTCCATAGCGACGTAGGAGTGTATTTCTCAGACTAAAACAATCAATAATTTTGCATATTTAGGTAGGTATATGTAAAACTTACCAGTTCCTGAAAGTACGACAATAGCGCACGGTCTCATTTATAGTAAATATTTTATGTTTTGATTGCCAAGCTGTAAATGTTTCGAATTCTTTTTCGTACTTCTCCTTTGATTTAAGGGGTAGCAAAGTTTCTGTTGCCTTTTGCGCATTTTCTTGAACAAATTTTGGTAGCGTATTCATCTTTATTGCAATTGGAAATCAAACTTGACGTTTCTAAGTAAACAGTTTATTTTGTTTTATAGACTACCATATTATTGTATTGTATTTACGGAAAGAACGCGTTTGCCTCAGCGAAAGCAAGTAACTAATTTTGGATTGTTTTTTAAGAATAAAGTGAAAAATAAAATCTTGTATGCACCACGGCGACGTTACCAGATGATTACGCCCATCGAACGATATCCAGCTCTCGGGCTAAAGCCCTCGAGCTGGATTCCATCGTTCTCCGGGCGTAATCATCCTAGTAACGCCCTTGGTGCATAAATAGCTATTAAATACCTATTGAACCTATTAAATTTATTTATTATGCTCTCCAGAAGAAAATGCAGGTCTACAGTCATGGTTTAATATGAAAGACGTAATTACAATTGTTGTTGAAGTATGTTGCATTGGTATCCTAAATGAAAATACAATTCTATTCAATATTTCAAATCAAATTTGATTTTAATGCAAGCTACCAAATAAGTTTACCTAAAATATCTAGTGTATTTTATTGGAGGAGTTGCAGATTAATATAGGCTGAACTTTTTGTCCCATACTGTATTTTTTTGCACAACAGATTATTATTATTATCTCGATTATTATTGAGGTGGTTGCAACCACATCCACCTAAAAATAAAGACAAAAAATAAAATAAAAAATACTTTATATTTAAACCATTTTTACTCTATATACAATTAAATTTAGGCCACACATCAAACTGATGGAAACATTTTAAATATGGGACGGTTTTTTCAAATTTGCTAATATATACTCTGCCTAAAAAAAATTGTTCAAAATGAGTCACAATCCTTTCAACTTACAGTTGCAAACCACCATGTATTCGGTTGAAAGATTCTCCTTGACAGGAACCCCATACCCGTTGTCGGTGTGATCAGATGTAGGTGCAGATGAGAAATAGAATTAAACGGAGGCACATGGAATCCCATACGTAAATCGTTTACATCCGCACCCAATTCTTGTAGTACCCGTTTGCCAACCTCCATTAATTTTTCAACTACAATAGTTAACGCGTAAAGTACAATTAAATAGTAGGCTTACCTAGCTCTTTGTCGTTTGTGGTTAATTCATTTACATTTTTGATGTGACGTTTGGTAACTGCCAAGTAGTGGTGTTCCGCTGCCGGTTTTATATCTTTGAAGATAACCAACTCCTCATCCTCGTATATTAGCTCGTTGGGATGTTTACCCGAAATAATGTTACAAAAAATACAATCGGATGCCATTTTGAATCTTGCGGGAGCCGTTTCTCGTCGAGTTTGACTAGCACAGTTATCCTGGTACCTTGCAGCGTAATTGTGCACCCTCGAAGAACGAAGACTACGGTTTACCAAAATCGACAAAACATGAAGCATGAATCTAGTAACATAATAAAACGCAAACGTTTTGGCTGAGGAGGGCTAATAAATACTCCGGCCTCATGCATATAATCTACACAAATCACGATTTGTGCATATCTTCCACTATCTTCCTTTTATACCACAGTCTAGATACTAGACTGCTTTTAGCAGCCTGTTTCCAGTACTAAAAGTAAGCGTGACTCAGAAAAGGTAGCTACATACAGTGGTAGCTACAATGACCTCATTATACAAGGTGCGAAGAAAAAATCTAAAATATTACAATCAATAAAGGGTAATAAAAACTAAATTTTAGATGGATTTCATTGATTTGATTATTTTGGTATGACATTTATATTGAAGACAGAAAGATAACATACCTAATAACTCCTACAGTTTCAATACATATACTACCTATAATGACTATTTTTCTTTATTTTTTGAGAAAAAAACATTCTTAATAGAAAGGCCTGCTTTTTCCAAAACTCATCCATTTATGTTTCCCTTATATGAATATACAATTATGCTTTACATACGTATTGATTTAGATTTATTATTTAGTTATCCATTACAATGATCCACCTTTCGAAATATCTCGTTCGATCCACCATTATAAAGTCACTAGATATAGAAAGTACCGCAATCATCCGCCATTTTTGGGCAAATTTGCTGCCAACTTAAAAAAATTGACAAATAAAATCTGAATAACTGTCATTTTTTATAACCTAACTTCATAGTACTGTCATGTTTTATAAAAATATATACAGATATCTCCAAACAGGTGGAACAATCCCTAACATGAAAGTTACTAGAATCTGGTAACTTCCGCCATTTTTGGGCAAAAATCATGCGTTCTCTCTCTAACACACGAGCCCAATGGATTGCGGTACTTTCTATATTTAGTGACTTTACACCATTCGTTTTAAATAGATGACATATGGTCCCACATATGGTATTTTTCTGTTTTGCGGAAAATTCAATTCATTCATTCAATGAATGCATTCATTTCCGATCACCCGGTAGGATGTTCCATACCATATGATGTGCATATGAACTAATACCATTGAATTAATACGAAGAAGGTGATAGATGTTCAATTTGCCGCAAAATTTAAAAGCGATAGGTACAGTTCGGCGGATTCCAATTGACTATTCGATATCGAATTCGTCGATTTCGTCAAAATATGCAATTCCCATTCGATCGAAAGCGAATTCGTTTGCGAGGACGTCGATATCGACTTGCTCGGTACATGAACGCTCACGAATTACTCGCTTCGCTTACGCTTTTGCGAAATGTAAGGTTAGGTTAGGGCGTAGTGTCTATTTATTTTGTGGTTAACTGGTTAGTGCATATTTGTTTATTATAATGTAAGGAAGGTTTAAGTATACTAAAAATGTGTAATTACATATAATTATTTATTTAAGGTCTTTTAAAATACGAGAAGCTCATTGGGAAGTTATGCTTCAATATATGGAAGCCCATCCAGATTTGGCTAAGGGGCGTATAAACCACCCCCAAGCCAGAAAAGCTTATACTGAAATGTGGTATGAATTAGGAAGCAAATTAAATTCGCTTGGGTTTGGCGAAAAACCAGTCGAAAAGTGGCAAAAGGTAAGGCTATGCAATAATGCACATGCAATTTTCTGTCTCACTAGTCAACAATCTGAGTGGTACGTGTCTATATACATAGTAGGCAACAGAAATTTGTAATATGTCTTTGTTTGTGAAATCTGTGCTGTCCTCTGTCCTTATCTTGGTACATGCCCTCGTATAGATACCTATATTCTTTCTTATTTTAGTCATGGAGCGACTATAAAACAAATTTAAAGAAAAAAGCGGCAGAAATCGAAAATAGTCGACGGCTGACAGGAGGAGGGCCAGGAGCTGTGAAGATCCTAACAGACTTCGAATTAAAAATTCTGAGCATACTAGGAGATACCTTTTATAAAGGAGTTGGAGTGGCAGAAGTTGGAGTAAGCAGTGAAACTTATAATTTATAACAAATACCTATATGTTATTAAGTGCAGTTGAACAAGTCTGTGATGGATATGGAACCAAATAGTAGCACCGCATCTCCTGCAGTTCACACATCAGAACCTTTAGCGTCACCTATAGCCGAATCTGGACCAGCTAAAAAAACACAGTATAGACAAACAGTGTTCAGAGAAGAAGCTAGTGATCACGACTATTTAGGCACCTTACCTGGAACATCAAATCCCAGGAAACGGCAGAAAGTAGAGGATTCAACCGAAAAAATTTACAAAGAAACGTTAAATGTTCTACGAAGCATAGATAATAACGTCAGTGTAGTCGCACATAGGTTAGATGGTTTAACCAAAGGAATAACGGAAGGCGCAAATGCAATGAAACAACTTGTAGAAATGTTAGCGAAACGACATTAAATGTATTAAATCAAGTTCGGTATATTGTTATATTTTTCTAATAAGTTGTGACGTTGCTTTTTATGCGATGCATTTAGTGATAAGAGTTTGATATTCCTTTTTATGTGTTGTATTTAGTAATAAGAGTTTGATGTTCCTTTTTGTTATTATTTCCGGTTAGAGTATATTTTTATTTTGTTACATGGAGGCTGTTAAGACTGAAATGTTAAATAAATAAGTTATTGCTAATTAAATTTTATTTATTATCTAAAATATCTATTTACAATTTCATTTCTAACATCTACCCCTTGTCTTTGTAAATGAGGTGGCACATTAATTATATTGATTTGTGGTAAAAACACATCCTCGTCATTTTGAAAGGGTTCATTTAATAATGGTACCCGAAATCTCATACATAAATTATGTAAAGCCGAACATGCAATTACAAGTTTTCCCACAAAATTAGGTTCGTACCTTGCAGTTCGTTCTTGTAGTACTACCCTAAATCGACATTTTAAAACTCCAATTGCCCTTTCTACACAGTTTCTGGCACGAATGTGATTTACATTAAAACGTGATTCAGGGGCGTTTTCTGCAGGATTTAAAAAAGGAATCATCAAAAATGGTTCCAACATATACCCTGAATCTCCAAGCAACCAGCTTCCCCTCAATCCATTTGCATGATACTGTTGCAACAGAAAATGTCGTATTCTTGACTGCCTCCAAATAAAGCTGTCATGATTTGAGCCGGGATAATTAGCATTAATGCTTAATATTTTTAGCTCAGCGTCACAAATGATTTGCACATTTAATGAATAATATCCCTTACGATTAAGGAAATTATGTGCGTCAACACGAGGCTTTAATATGGCCACATGTGTACCATCAACACAGCCTATAACGCCCGGAAATCCATAATTCTCCATGAAGGCCTCTTTTTTCCTATTCTGTTCTGGCCTTGTGATGGGAAATCTAATTTCATTATTCGGAAGCACTTCTGTTATTACTTGCGTGACTTGGTGGATACATCTGAGATAGATATAAATATTACATTTTATTAATTATAGAAAACGTCATAAAATGACTGACCTGTGAATAGAAGTTTGACTTAAGCTTATATTAAACGCTAGGCCAATGTCTCGCTGGTAAGATCCACTTGCATAAAATCTTAAGGTGGCAAAAACTTTAAGTATATTTGGAACTGTATTCCTATATACTCCTTCTTCCAAGTATGGATTAATTGTAGTTAATAAATATCTCGCACAAGCCCTGTTTAACCGGTAAAGTTCTATAAAGCGATCTTCGGGAATCTCAAAAGGATTACTGTGATCCCTTAACATTCGTCTTTCTAAAACAAGTCTTCGGTTCTCCTCTCGTCGACGAATCCTTCCTAAGTAGTTATGTACTATAGGTAACATTTTGCAATCAAAACCAAAATTATATAAACACGCGGGAAATAACCTATCTTTTTTCTTAGCAAGGAAGTATAAACAAATCGAATGCGCATGTCCGCTACGGATTTCGATATCGTGGTACTCGTTAACTAATTCGATATCGAAAGGGAATGCGGAATAGGTCGTTTTCGAATTCAGTATCGTATAGCGAAAACGACTCGCTTTCGTCAAGTCGCAACGAATTGGAATCCGCCAGCAGTTCCCAAGTCAATTAATTGACACGTCACACGTGTCACGAAGGCAACTTGTTTATTTTGACACATGTCCAATCATCAACAATCGATCAACTCACATAATTTTTATTGAATGTCAACTTTATTTATCCATGGTATGCAGTTCCCCTGAGCAAGGTTTGTCACCCAACAACATAAAAAAAAGTTCGAACAAATTTTGCTGCAACAAGACCAGTAAACCGTAATGATTGTTATACTTACTAGTGTAATATTCCTTATTGTAGATTATCTATAAATTGGTAGTGATTATGTCGGCAATTGTGAAAATTGAACCAAAACATGAAGACGAAGTTAATGCATTTGTTGCTAATACGCTTTTCCTTACCAATGATGTTTTCCCAACCATAAAGCATGAACTCGAAGAGACCAGAAGCACGGATTATTTTAACGAAACTTTTGATCTAAAGCAGGTAGATATCTCCCAGTTACGCAAACTTTCTGAAGATTCTCTTTATACTAAGCGACAAGAAGTTTCAAAAGATTTTAATTGTGTTCGATGTGATTATGCAACGAACAATAAATCCAGTCTTGCAGTACATCTTGTAACGCACATGACTTCTAAGGAATTAAAATGTGCCCACTGTGATTTTGCAACCAATTATAAATCCAGTCTTACAGCACATCTTTTGACTCACACGACTTCGAAGGATTTAAAATGTGCCCACTGTGATTATGCAACCAATATTAAACGCAATTTGAAGCAACATCTGTTAAAGCACAAAACCCGGAAGGATTTCAAATGTACCCGCTGCAATTATGCAAGCAATTTTAGATCACGTTTTAAGATTCACCTCTTAACACACAAGACTGGTAAAGATTTTAAATGTAGCTTGTGCGGTTACTCAACGTATATTAAAGGCAATTTCAAAAGACATTTGCTAACACACAAGACTTGCAAAGATTTAAAATGTGTTCATTGCCATTACTCAACGCATTCAAAATCCTATCTTAAAAAACATTTGGTAACGCACAAAAAGTGTAAAGACCTAAGGTGCTCTCAATGTGATTATACAACAAATCTAAAATGCAGTTTGACTAAACATGTGCTAACCCACAAGATCTCCAAAGATCTAAAATGTTCACATTGTCAATACGCAACCAATCGAGCATCACACTTAAAAGCGCATTCAAAAGTACATCTGTTAATACCCAAGATCTTTAAAGATATAAAATGTGCTCAGTGTGATTATGCGACCACAAACAAATACAATTTAAAGAAACATTTGTTAACCCACAAGATTTTCAAGGATATAGTAAGTACCCCAATACCAAATAAATACATTTTAAAAACACATCTGTTAACCTACAAGACACCTGAAGACTTTAAATGTACTTTGTGTGATTACTCAACCAATGCTAAAGGCAATTTGAAGACACACATGATAACGCACAAACCTTCTAAGGATTTAAAGTGTACCGAGTGCGATTATGCAACCAATTTTAGTTCCTCTTTCAAGAACCATGTCTTAACACACAAGACTTCTAAAGATTTAAAATGTGCGCACTGTGATTACGCAACGAACATAAAATCCTACTTAATGTCACATCTGTTAACACACAAGACTTCCAAGGATTTAAAATGTAATCGGTGCAAATATGGTACCAATTTTGCTCGTGCTTTTAAAATACATATGTTAACACATCTAAAAATTTAAAATGTGCGCATTGTCATTAGGAAAACTTAAACATACTACCTGTTAAAAAATGTGCCCCACAAATAAAGGTAATTTGAAGAAACACCAGGGCAAGGATTTTAAAAGTATTCAATGCGAATATACTACCAATTTTAAATCCAAATTTAAAATACACTATTTTAGTGTGATTCTGGAACTAAGAATAAATTCTGCCTGCAGAAACATTTTGTTGTGATGTTTTCTATAAAACAACAGTTCAACTAAGACTAACAAAAATAATGTGATAACAAGTAGGTAATGTGAATTAATACTAAAATTGTGAATTTTTGTCTGAATTTTTTTTGCGAACGATTCCCAAATCCTATAAGCTCTTCTGTTTCTTTTTTTAGATCGTTTGTTAGTGTGAGAAAGTTTTTTTGCTAAACCCGGTTTACTTTTTTAAATTGTTTATTAAATTTTTAAAAAAATATGAATTTACATACGCATTTATAATACCTATAGAACTGGGAGTAATGGTGTGGCAAGCAGTTCATGTTTATAGTGGTACAAACGATTAAATATAATTAAATTTAATGTATTTTGTTAATTGTAGAATATATAGTTTGTATACTAAATGAATATTATATGTATTGTTAGTAAAATACCATATATATACTTCTCTTATATATATGTAAAATACTTGAGTTTTCTTTTTAACACATTTATGTTCTAGGACAGAATCTGATTGGAGATCTCCAGAAACAGGATGTGTACTTTAAAATACGAAAAAATTAAAGAAAGATTCGAAAATTTTTAATTTTAAAAACTTGTTTTATTTAAAAAATGAAGTTAGTTCCGATAACTTTTTTACCCGGTCCTGTATGCTTGTTTTGAAAATAGCCAATTAGTCAATCATTATGAAGAAACTTTTGTCATTAACATTTTTCTCGAATCTATCGTAGTCGAGCGAATATTCTCAAATTTTGATTTTACCATTTTGATCCAAAAAGACCACATGGCGCCTTTATTACTTTTTTGATAGCACTCTAGAATTGAAAGAGGTGAACCGAAAGCACCAGCTAAAAAAAAGTTTCAATTGAACCAAAATAGTTATTTGTTTCATTAGTACAAAAAATGTCAGTTTTCGGGACGAGGAAGATAGTTGCTGGACGACGCGTCAGCGGAGTCCAGCAACCTTCCGAGTCCTGAAAACGCATTTTTTGTACGAATAAAACATAAAATTTTTTCTCCAACCCCCTTTACTTCAAATTATATTCGAATTTAGATTCAGTCACAGTTTCACTACTAGTATAAGAACATCTGCTTTCTTGTTCTCACGTGTCATGCCACTCTAGTTTTTAGGTTAACTTATAAGCTATTCGTTCTTACTTCTTACTTCTCACCTCTCGTGACTTTGTAGGGAGCAAATCTTGAGGTAGCATGTTCTGCCGTTTCTATAATCTCTGGCGGAGTGCAATCCATGTCGCTATCAGTTTCAGTCATTTCTAATGCATACACAATTAATATTGTTATATTTTGTATTGAAATAAAAAACTTACCATACAGTTTTTTAATTAAAATTAATTGCAATTAACTTTTTCATATTTTGAATTCAAAATGACAGATAATAGTGCAATGTGTCTTAAGTAGATGGCGTTACGCGCGACGGCGGGTTGTATACGTATTAAAATTACGTTCACCGAATATGTAAATTACGTTACACATGATTTAAATAAAAATAGCGAGCGTAAATCATTTTCAATACATGTACATACGTATAGGTAACAGCATTATTTGCATTGAATATGCAAAAATATTTGATTTGTATGTATAGAAATATCTTACAACCTGCAATGTAAAACGATGTCAATGTGACATATCTCCGTGATTGTAATTTTTTAATTGGTCAACTTTCAAGGTCAATTTCTTTTTGGTACTAGGACCAAAAGTATCCACTTTTTGTAGTACAGTTGCCATGGTGAAAGCGATTAATCCGCAAAACGTCAATTTTACGTACCGAACACCGTCACAAAATAGCGTCTTATTCAGGTGGTTGGAGAAAAAATATGTTTATGCAAAATACTTTAATTTTGTGTAGAATCTTTTTCCTAGAATATACTTTTTATTTATTGTGTAGACCTAGGACCGGAACCGAAAATTAGACCCGAAACCGCTACCGGAAATTTTACCTAAGTATAGACCGGAAAATTTGATTTGTTTTAATTTACGATATTCAACAAAGATAACCTATCTTTAACAATGCGGTTGAAAAAAATCTTCACACTAAATAAAAGCAAGCACCGGACTTGAAACAAACATAGTTACACAAGTAGAAATTGTGCACAACTGTAAGACACGACAAACGAACCGATACTTTTCTGTTTATTATTTTATACAAGTACAATGGAAGTAGGCCACTGGTTAAAAAAATGTAAACAGCTGATGTAAAAACAAAACAAAAGCAAACAGTTTTTGAGCACCAAACATATGGCCGCCAGCCCGCCACACGAAAATTTGCCTCAACGCACAGCGTGGCTCTTTATAGATATATCCGTCTTTCATAAGTCTGGACAATGCCGTCTAGATAGTGTAGAATTACAAGACAACGTTGCATTTGGGAGTAGCTACTTTAAAACCAAAATAAAATAGACTTTTAACACATTTATTGACAACATATGGACGGAGATGACGGCACACCACTCGTTAAAATCGAACCAAAACAGGAAGAAAAAATCCATTCCTCTCTTCAGGGAAACATTTTGGTGAGCAACAAAACTGCTTACGATAAACGACGAAATTACCATTGGTGCACAGTGTTATAAATCTCTTTATCTGGCTCTCTATAATGGAGAAGTAGTACAAGCACCACTATACTTCCCAAACAAGGTTAAGAGCTCGCTCCTCTCATGATAGAATCCTGATGGTTAATCTTTGTTTCACTTACAACGGGCCTAGATTTGGTAATTTGTTTGTTTGTGTTAAAATAAATAATAATGCCCAAAAGACAACGTACATTCTTTATTTGCACAAATGCGTTCAATTCAATTCAATGACGACCTTCATCTTATAACATTTACAAGCAACTACAAAAAGAACAGAAATTCCGTTTTACAAAATAGTACACACAGCGACATCTCGCTATCAGTTAAAGGAACCATAACACAGAAAACATTAGGAACATAAAAGTATATTTTACTTGATTTACTTAACACGCCTCCTTACTTTTATGCTCCAAACAAAAATATAAATACAGAGAAAAGAAAATATTACTGTAAATTTAACATATTTCTTAAATAAATGAATTTTTCCTTACACAACGCTTTGGTAAGAATATCTGCCAAATTGTCATCAGATTTAATTTTAATTACATCTACTACTTTAGCCAAATAATTCTCATGGACAAAATGATACTGTATTTCAATATGTTTAGCATTCTTGGTATAATTACCACATTTAGTTATTGCTACAGCACCAGAGTTGTCCTCATAAACTCGAACTGGGTTATTTAAAGTAAGTTTAAATGTTTCTAAAATTTTCTTTACAATAAGAATTTCAGAGATAGCTTCAGATAATGCAACATACTCAGCTGCTGTTGATGATTTAGTGACAGAATTTTGTTTACGTGATTTCCAATATATGACATTTTCATACAATCTAATAACATAACCGGTTGTAGATTTTCTATCATTCGTGTCACCTGCCCAGTCTGAATCTACGAAACAATCAATAAGGTTACAGTTTACACCCTTCTTAGTATAAATTAAATTTAAGTTTCTTGTTTGATACAGATACTTAAGAATTCTTAGAGCATATTTAAAATGAGTTTCTTCACAACAGTTCTGAAATCTACTTAAATAATTAACACTGAAAGATATGTCTGGTCTAGTAGCAGTGCTAACATACAGAAGTGCACCTATAATATTTCTATATTTAAGATTAACATTTAAATTATCAGTCTTTTGTAATTTTAAATTTACCTCCATTGGTGTAGAAAAGGTTTTGTTACAGTTTATAATATTATATCTTTCAGCTAATGATTCTATGTATGATTTTTGACTTAACAGCATATTGGACTGTTCATCATATCTAATCTCAATACCAATATAATTATTAATTATGCCAAGATCTTTCATATTAAAACGTAAAGACAATTTAGCTTTTAAGTTGAAAATACTGGTTTCATCATTACTACAAATCAAAAGATCATCCACAAAAAGTAATACATAAATGGTTTTATTTTCACTTATTTTATAATACAAACAATAGTCACATTTATTTCTAATGAAATTTAGACTGCTCATATACTGGTGGAAGCATTCATACCATAAACGAGGACTTTCTTTTAGGCCATACAAAGCTTTATACAATTTAAAAACTCTATTTGAACCATCATCATATCCTTCTGCTTGTTTGACATACACATCAGTTGAAATACTCCCATTCAAAAAAGCTGTCTCTACATCCATCTGCTCTATAAAGAAATCATTTTGATGACAATAAGCTAACAAAATTTTAAGTGTCTGAGCTTTAAAAACAGGCGAATAAGTATCACCTATATTGTCCTTCTGTTGAAAACCTCTAGCAACCAAGCGCGCTTTAAAAGTTCCATCCATTTTCTTTTTATACACCCATTTAACATCTATAACTGGTCTGTCTTTGGGTCTTTCAATTAATTTCCACGTTTTATTCTTATTTAGATTTTGAAATTCTACGTCCATGGCTTCCTTCCAATTTTTAGCATCTGTTGATGATATAGCTTCTTCAAAATTTAAAGGAGTCATAGCATTACAGTAATTCACATAAACAGTTTGGTAAACATACTGTTCATCTTTGTTTGGTTTTGGCTTTCTTTCCGATTTTCTTAATGGTGTACTAATTTCTGGATCCATGCGCTTTTGATTCAAATCATCAATAACTTGACTATCCTCACCTTCACCTACATCTTCTTGCTCTTCTTTACTATGAGGAATAATCTCATTGAAATTATTAGATTCTTGAGGCTCATTAAAACCAATACAAACTGTATCATCTTCTATTATATCCACATGTCGAGCTACAATTACCTTATTACCTATTAATACTCTGTATCCAACATCTGAATATCCAACAAGTATACCACACTCAGCCTTTTTATCCCATTTGGAATGTCTTTTTACTTCAGGAACCCTTACAAAAATTTTACTCCCATATATTCTTAGATATTTAGCGTCTGGTTTCTTTCTAAAAAAGATTTCATAAGGTGTTAATCTCTCTATAGTATTTGCTAAGACACAGTTTTTCAAGAACGCAGCTGTTTTAACAGCTTCAGGCCAGTAGCACCTATTAATTTTTGCCTCTGCCATTAAACACCTTGCCATATCCATAATACTTCTATTGAGCCTTTCTGCAGTACCATTTAGTTCATGTACATAAGCTGGACAAGGATCGATACTTAATACCTCTTTCTCGTAAAAAAGTCAAACATTTGGAATTAATATATTCTTTACCATTATCACACCTAACCTTTTTAACCTTTTTATTAGATATGTTTTCCACCTGATTAATATATTCTGACAAACACTCAAAAACTTGATCCTTACTCTTAATACAGAAAACCTTAATCAATTTACTATAATCGTCTACGATAGTTAAGAAATATTTTTCACCATTGCTCCCAACAGTACTATGAGGTCCATTTAAATCAGTATGAATTATTTCAAGTATGTCATTTGCTTTTGATCTAGTGTTTTGGAAGGGTAAGTTATGCATCTTATTTTCAATACAAATTGCACATCTCATAAAATTATTTTCAAGATTTTCAGGCAGATTCTCAACCAAATTACTTTTACAAAGCTTACTCAATGAATTAAAGTTGATATGGCCTAATGTTCTATGCCATTTTTCTTTAAGCAACATTTTATTTTCAGTTTCAACTTTGTTCTTAATAATTACATTAGCATTGATTTCCTTTTGAACTAAAAAACACTTTATGTAATACAGATTATTACGTTTTTTGGCTATTCCAATTATCTCGTCTTGTTTATTATAAATTTTGCTAACATCAGCTTCGGATATAATTTTGTTATTTTTAGTAATTTTACTGTAACTTAAGAGATTATTATTCATTTCTTCTACAAAGAAAACATTTTTAATTGTTACAGTTGAGACTTTATCATATACAAAGAAATTACACAAAACAGTAGCTATCTTGGTTGCCTGTAGTGTTCGACCATCTCCAAGTTTAACATTATTAGGAGTTTTTAAGATAATACATTCAGAAAAATATTTGTCATTATTGATTATGTGGTCTGTACACCCACTGTCAAGCACCCAAGTAACTTCATTACCATTATAAACTTCATTACAAATTTCACTACTTACAGTTTCACCGTCATTTACATTTACCATAAAAACACTGCTGTTTGGGTTGTGTTGAGCTGATTGACCCTCGGATTGAAAATGCCCCCTGCCTCGGTAACTGCCTCGCCTACCTTGAAAACGCCTGCCTCGGAAATTACCACGGTTAATACCTGGCCCATAGGTACCCTGATTGCTTTGGGACTGGTCACGTGACGCATTGTAACTTGATCCTGCTCTGCCTCTGCAATACTTCTGTATATGGCCGAAATTTCCACAAGAATAACATCGTTGTTCCCGATATGTTGGCTTAGAATGACTAGATGCCATAAAAACATTTGACCTTCCTTCGGCAGTGGTAGTCGATCGCTGACCATTCTCCAACGACTTCAGCTTAATTTTTTGCTTTAAGAATTCACATGTTCTATCTGTTTCGGGAAGTACATCTATAAGGTCTCCAATATAACTGTACGAGCTCGGCAACGCCTTCAACATATAATTCAACTTTTCACTTTCTTTCACGATAGCTCCCGCAGCTTTCAAATCATTTATCCCCTTTTCAAAGGAATCGAAAAAGGAATTTACGTCGGAGTAATTGTCCAGTTTAATATTCTCGATTGCACTTCGATGCACAATCTGAAGTGCTGTTGACTGTCGGTTGTACATCTCGTCAAACTTTAGCAATATTTTACGAGCTGAATCCAGATCGGACACATATTCTAACTGCTTGTTAGAAATGGCGCTGTATATATAATTCATAGCCTTAATTTCCATATAATTCCAATCTTCGGCTTTATCTGCATCAGTCTTATCACGAATAACTACTTCTTTACATTTTTTAAATTCCAAAAACTTACATAAACGTATCTTCCAGTTTGCATAATCCACACCATCAAATATGGGTATAACAACGTCGTCGTATTTCATGAGTGGCATCGTAAAAAAGTTTTCCTTTAGAACGTAACAATGAAACGTAAATTTTTTCACCAAGATCACTTTACTTTTTCTTAAATCTTCAAACCAAGGTCTGCTACCATGTTAATAGTACATTATATACCAAGGTAGAGAAGTCCACTATTATTGCCTGAGCACCAAGATTACATCTCGAGGCGCTTGCGCCGAGGGGTGTAAGGTGCGAAGGTCTACCGTGGTATATATACTATTTTTTTCACTACTAGCACTTGAAATCCTCTAAATTAACATATTATATTGATAAGAGAGTTAACGGTTGGACAGAATTGTTTGTTTCTTAATTTAACATGTCAATCAAGTACGTGGAAGTACAAGTCAAACAGGCCGTATTTTGTTCTGTCATTGAGATTTTTCAAAGAGTAATTTCGTTCGAATTTTTTCAAATGTGATAATTTTAGGTATGTAATTTCTCTGGAAATTGCGAATGGTGGCAATTATTCGTTTTAGAGAACTTGTCTAAACGTTCATTGAGCGAAATTTCGGGTTGTGTTTTCTAAAAGTGACAGCGTGACAGTTCTCATTATTGACTACTAGTTAATAATAAAAAATTATTAACCACTTGGAACTTTACAAGTGGAAAAAAGGTTAATAATCATGTCATCAGACGCTAGTAGTGAAAAAAATAAATAATAATGCCCAAAAGACAACGTACATTCTTTATTTGCACAAATGCGTTCAATTCAATTCAATGACGACCTTCATCTTATAACATTTACAAGCAACTACTAAAGAACTGAAATTCCATTTTACAAAATAGTACACACAGCGACATCTCGCTATCAGTTAAAGGAACCATAACACAGAAAACATTAGGAACATAAAAGTATATTTTACTTGATTTACTTAACAGTTTGTTTGGGGCAAAATTGACGAGAACATAATTAGTATTTATTAATGTATAGGTCTTGGCTGTTTACACGTTTATTTACCTGGCGCATAACGCCCAATACTCCAACTACAGGAGTACGTTCAGAAACCAGATAGGAGTTACGCTGATCGTTCAGAAAGTGTAGTGTGATCACCTTGTACAACACTACCCTTTGTTCAGAAACGCTTGCAAGTCGCCTCAGTGTAACTCTGGAGTGACCTTTCATTACCTCGCTTTTTGGCGCGGTAATAATAACCTGTCATGCGCATTTCATAATTAACTGTCAAATGTCAACAATCGTTGTCCAAATTATTTTATTTTCAGTAAAGTAAATTATTAAATTAATAATGGAAAATGCGTATGTGCCAGTAGTTAACGAAAATGGTTTATATATTATTGAAAATGAAAATGTTGTTTTGCAAAATACTCAAAGTAAGTAGGTACATTATTTTATATATCGATTCCTATTTTAATCCTATCAGGTGGAGAGTTACTGTATCATTCAATTAATGCAGATTTGCAATCAATATTTGGCATTGAATATTATGAGGAATTACAAAAGCAACTTGCCGATCTTGCACTTCCTTCACCAAACGGGACGAGTACGCCGATGGGAACCAAAGTTTCGTGGAGTCACGAGATGACATTAAAGCTCATTCATTTTTTAAAACTTCACCAAGAAGATTTTAAATCGACCACCATAAAAAATGATGCAGTATATGCGCTAATGAAGGATGAAATGAAGAATGATGGTGGGAACTTTACTACATCCCAGATTAAAGATAAAGTAAAATATTTAAAAATGAGGTATATGAAGAAGAAAGATAATATGAAAGCGACTAGTAGTGGTGCTGCCGCTATACAATTTACTTATTACGAAGAGATGGATGATATTTACGGAAAAAAACCAAACGTTGAGCCCATTGCAGTAGCATCCTCTCTAAGAGGACGCAACTTGGAAGGTAAGGATCTTTTTCTCTCATTATAAGTAAATTTGATTATATTATTATACTTAGACAAAAAGGAAGACAGTGATGACGTTCGATCTCGATCATCTAGTCCGCCTGTTACGGAAACTGCATCAACAACTTCAAGTATCTCTCCAACACCATCAGTTTCCAGGAAAAGGCGTTTCACAGAAGATGATATTGAAAGGCGGCATAAAGAGAGGCTGAGTTTACTTCGAGAGTTGCAGCAAAAATCCATTGAAAATTTCAACATGCAGATGAATAAACTTTTAGACAAATTGTAGGATTATGACAGTAAAATACCGTACACATCCTGTAGAATGTAGTGTATTTTTTCAATATGTAAGAATATGTATTAAGTTCGTAACAGTTTATGTTTATTATTAATGATTAAGTGTTTCATAAAGATATTACAAAATATTTACAAGTATTTAGTCCATAACATCAAATAATCTTTGACACAACTGATCACGTTTATGAGTTCCATTCTCATGAAATAAATTTCCTCGGCCATTATGTTCACGTTCCAAATTCCCTCTTACAAATTGGATACCCTCATTTATAAACTCCTCTACCAATAAATCTTCCGATTCTATACATAAATTGTGCACAACACAACATGCGACAACAGTTGCAGGAATCAAATCTTGTCTATTCATATCTAAAAATTTAAGTCGCCGTAGTCGTCCAAATAAAAGGCCAAATGCCCTCTCTATACTTTGTCTGGTCTGAGATACTCTCAAATTAAAATTTCTTTTTGCTGCATTCATATTTCCACTGTTGATGTATGGAGGTATGCACCATGACAAACAAGGATATGCCTTATCGCCTAAAATAAACTCTCCATTGGGAAAATATTCCATAACATTTTCAGTAACCGCATTATATATGTCGGAATTGCGGAATATTCGAGTATCGCTTACAGATCCAGGATAACCCACGAATACATCAGTGAATTTTAATGAAGCATTGCAAATTCCTTGCAGTGTAATTGCGTAATGGCATTTTCTGCATATATATACCTCTGGGTCATCTTTGGGGGCTTTTATTGGAATAAACGTTCCATCTACTGCTCCAATAACACCGTCAATGCCTGCAAGATTGGAGAATTTTTCTTTAACTGCTTCTACCTGTTCGCCTGTTGGCCAAACTATAACTTTTGGCGCAATGTTATTCAACGCTTTGATGATACGGAAAAATGACACACTTAAAGAAGACTTTCCCATATTAAATCTTTCTCCTACTGATCTAAAACGAAGTGCTAGTTATATATGAATGTATTCCATATGTAGGTAGGTACCTAAATGAATCTGGGGTTGCCAATAGCCACAGTACAGCAAGTAATTGTCTATCGATGTCTATTAAAGGTCGTCCCACAATGTCTTTTTTCTTTATTTCATTTGCAATAATTGGTAACAACTTGGTATATGTCACATAATTGATACGGAAATGCATTTGAAATTGTTGTTTACTGAGGTTCGGTATTACCCTTTCCATATAATTCTCAATCCTAATCGGCAACTTTCTCCTTTTTGAAGGTACAGGATCTTCTTCGTCTTCAATATCGATAGCTTCAAACACAAATATTTCTAATTCCGATAGGAATTGTTTAAATAATGAGATTGCCAAGCCACAAATAAGCTTCCTTTTGTTCATATTTAAAATTGTTTGTTTTGCTCGAACTTTCTAACCTTACAAAAATAATTGACAGTAGCATCTCACTCCGTGCGTTTCTAAAGTACAGAGTGACATTGGGCACGTGACATCACTCTACACTTACTTCACACCAAAGAACATCACTTGTTTCTGAACGCACTCCACATGATCAGTGTCGTAACAAGGAACTGAGATCTGTCTCTAATCAAGGGGAACACATCGTGGTCGTAGCAGTTAGAGAATGTGATGAGGAGTGCCATTCATCGCCTTTTACGACCTCCAGAAACGAGTGGTCAATGAAGCAACGCATTAGTATGAATTTATAGAAAAGTGACAACACTGTTTAAAAATGTTATGACTTCGAATATAGATAAGTTCAGATTGATAACATATTAATGGCGTCGCTTCCTCATAGGCTCTTTTAATAAAGAATTTAAGTATTTTGGGAGTGTTTGACGGAGCAGACAACAAATAACCAAATAATTACTGGTTGTGTGATGCAACTCTGATATAACAAATTGTGTTACCCAGAAAGTAAGTATGTCTGGTTGTCCAGGGATCTCGCTCTTTATTAACAACAAAATAGATTTTTAACACATTTATTTATAACATTATTGTTGTTAGATATGGATGGAGATATTGACGCACCACTCATTAAAATCGAACCCAAACAAGAAGAAGAAGTCAAGAAATGTTTCAGGAACGCATTTCAGTCAGCAACGAAGTGTTGGTGACCGTAAAGGACGAAATTACCATTAGTACACCGTGTCCTGAATCTCTTTATAATGAAGAAGTTCACAAACACTCTGACTTTCAATGTCACCTTTTCACTCGGTGTAAAAAAGTGTCTAAAGATTTTAAATGTGCACATTGTGATTATGGCACAAATAATAAAAGTAACTTTAAACAACATCTTTTAACACATAACATTTCTAAGGACTTTAAATGTGCTAATTGTGATTATGAGACAAATAGAAAATCATGCTTGAAAAAACACCTTTTGAGACACAAATATTTGAAAGTTTATAAATGTGGTAATTGTGATTATTGCACAAATGATAAATGGGCCTACAAACAACATCTTTTAAAACATAAAGTTTTCAAGGATTTAAAGTGTCGTGTTTGTGATTACGAGACGAACAATAAATATTACTTTAACCAACACCTTTTAAGTCATAAAGTTTTGAAAGATTATAAGTGTGATGATTGTGATTATGGGACAAATGATAAAAGCAACTTCAAACGACATCTTTTAAAACATGGAGTTTCTAAGGATTTTAAATGTGCTGATTGTGATTATGGGACAAATAACACGCACCACTTCAAACGACATCTTTTAACTCATAAAGTTTCTAAGGATTTTAAATGTGCTGATTGTGATTATGGGACAAATGTTCAACGCAATTTCAAACGACATCTTTTAAAACATAAAATTTCTAAAGATTTTAAATGTGTGGATTGTGATTACGGGACAAATCATAAACACCTCTTCAAGCAACATCTTTTAACACATAAGATGTCTATCTATTTTAAATGTGCCGATTGCGATTATGGGACCAATATTAAACACGACTTTAAACAACATCTTTTAATACATAAATTTTCTAAGGTTTTCAAATGTACTGATTGTGATTACGGGACAAATCATAAAATCATCTTCAAACAACATCTTTTAATACATAACAATTCTGAAGATTTTAAATGTGCTGATTGTGATTATGGGACAAATAATAAACGCAATTTCAAAAGACATATTTTAAAACATAAAGTTTCTAAGGATTTTAAATGCTCTGACTGTGATTATGGGACAAATAATAAACAGCTCTTCAAACGACATCTTTTAAAACATACAGTTTCTTGGGATTTTAAAAGTGTAATATCTTAAATCTTATATTTTAACACACAGTGTCAGTGTCTAAAAACAAAAACAGTACAGAAGACCCCCTCCAAAACAGCAGTCCTGGGCCTGACCTATGCGATCCTACTATAATTAGCCAGTCCGCCCCTACTGGCACAAGTGAGAAAAATTACTCCATTAACCCTTGTATATTTTACCATTCTACGTTGGAGCTTTGTCAAACACAGACGCGTTGGTTTTTTCTTCACGCGCTTCTTTTTGAGGGGTCTGATTCTGCACTGTAACTTTTCAGCGAGAAATACTGTAGTATTAAATTCTTCAATGAAGGTTTAACTGGGCAATCTCATGTTGCGTAACGAACGTACATTCATCAAGTCATATTCAATATCTTCTTGAACACCCTTTAGTTTTAAATGAATCCTTTTCGATATGTTGACTGCATGAATGTGAGTGAAAGAATTCGTCCAGTTGCTACTACTTATTGAGCGAGCTGTACGTTCGGCATTCGATAAGTCTGCATTCTTTTCTTGGATCAGATCAGACCAACTAAATTCTGTCAGTGTGTCCTAAATTTGTGTCGGGATAGTTTACATTTGGTTGTGAGTAATTTTGGGAAAGTTAGGGGTTTCATTTTAAACTTGAGTTTTTGTAATTGTTTAGACAAATTTTGCCACGTGTGTTTACAATTCCAGTAAATTTTGAGTTGCAAGTCAGTTTCAGCAAATCGTGTGGTAACTTAAATTTATTGTTAAAATAAAGCATGTAAATTTTGTATTAAAGTCCAGTTGTTCTGGCCTTCATTCTCTGTCCAAACATTAACGTTTTTGGTTTGAAATCTGTAATATAATAAAATGATTGTTTGCAATAAATTTTCAAATAGCAATAAGTGCAGAAAGGTACAAAGCGTACACTCTAGCAACAAGACAAAGAACAACGTAAAAGAAACATAACACTAGAAAGGCCTCTAACGGTAAAACAAAGAACTAAAGTAATATGAAATCTATACTAAGATAATAACAAATTTACTACAGGAATTAACTTACATCTAAAACTAGTGGATTACAAAGAAGACACCTAGATGGCCCAAGAATTTCAATAAGACCACAATTCAAATAGTTCCGGATGCCCTAAAAGTTTCTCCGGATGCCCTAAAAGTTTCTCGTGTGATTCCGGTGCACAAGAAGGGTGACCGCCAGGATGTGACCAACTATCGCCCAATATCGATTGCGTCAGCATTCTCCAAGATATTTGAGAAATGCATGGCCAATCGAATGTATGATTATTTCCAAAAATATCAACTGCAGTGTCCCTCTCAGCATGGCTTTGTTAAAGGCAAATCTACCATCACGGGGTTATTTGACTCTATCAATGCCATATACGAAGCGCTGGATAGCAAGCTGTATAGTGTATACCATGGGCATATACTTTGACATGTCAAAAGCATTTGATTGCATCAATCATCAACTACTACTTGACAAATTGGAGTCATATGGAATTGTTGGGAATGCACACAACTGGATCCACTCCTTCCTTGAGGGGAGATCCCAATTTGTAGAAATACCGAGCGCTAAGGGCAACGGAAAAGTGAAATCATCATTATACAGGCAACATCTTGGTACACCCCAAGGATCAACGCTTGCACCTCTACTTTTCATCATATTTGTCAACAATATGGACTACGCAGACGATACGTCGCTAATCATCTCACATAACAACTTAAACACCCTGGAGGGTACGGCCAATATGGCGATTGAGAAAATGACGAAATGGTGTACATCCAATCGTTTACAACTGAACGATAAGAAAACTGCCGTAATGTTCTATCGCAACATACGCTCTCGAAATTACATTGCCCCAGTCACATACATGGATAATCAGCCCCTACAGCAACGTTCCAATG